ATATTTGTATTATTGATTCATTCACTCTGTGCTGTTTCTTATTGTACATAAATGTGACAAGTTTCATATTAATATCGAGTAGACTGAACCAGAGCGTTTTTTATTTGTTTAGATTTCAATTTTATTCACCATGTATGAAGTTGAGAATTCGTCTGTGATCGATGGAGGCACTAACGAAAATGAAATAACAGACAATATATAGAATGTCAGTATTCTATTATTATTGCAATGTTTGACTACCTATCTGTGTCATCTTCATAGTTGCTGCTGGAAAACCCAGAAGGCATTCAATCGATTGCACTCGAAAGTCTCTACAGCGTGCGTTTGCTATTTTTTTGAACTTTATTAAATATCATTATTATTCTTTATTCAGACAAAATTCTCTAAAAGTTTGTTACAAGAATTGATCCAATTAGCTTTACCTAATACTTATAAAAACTTCACTTGGAGCACAATAGAAGGCAATAAAAGCGGTACTGTTGACAACGTGATAAGATTGAGCGATGAAGCTGATGCTGAAGAAGTATCGACCTTGTGTATTTTTGATATTGTTTCAAAAATTTAATTTAATTTTTCTAGAGACAATATCAACTAATGCTTCAGGATATTGGTAGCTCTGGTGTTGTTTCAGTAGATTTTCATTATGAAGAAAACCCATTTTTATTTACGAATAATGAAATTTGGATTGGATTTGTATCGAACATCGATAGACATAAACATGCTATTTACATACAGCCCGATTGCATGATGTCATGCATGGACACATTAACCCAACAACTTGAGTAGGATATTTTCCTAGAATACATCATTTATCTTATTGCAAATTGATTTTTGTTTCCGCTTTTCTCTTAGTTTTTACTATTCTGATCCAGTATCAGAAACGTTTACGGTGCACAAAGTTGCTGCGGGTCTACCATGCGTGAGCAAATACGAAGAAGTCTATCATCGTGTCTATATCAAGGAGAATCATCTTTCCAAGTGCGTTATTATTTACGTAGATCTTGGTATAACAGAAGAAGTTCAAGTGGATGAAGTTCAATTCAAATATTTACTTAAATATTTTGCTACACTACCTGCTTTAGCAATCCCATGTAGGCTCGCTGGTATTGAATACAAACTAAACAATCATGAAATGGCTCTTGAAACATACAAAGAACTGAATGATTTGCGTCAAACAAGCCCTTTCTACATCGAACCATGCGAAGCAAGTAATGGTACATTGCTTGTCAAACTCTACGATGTTGATGAAAGCTGTTTGAATGATATTATTGTGGAGAAGGGATTAGCAGTATTTATTTTATATATGTCACGGTTTATTAATAATCAGCTCTATTTTTCAGTTTTCTTCATCATTTCCACGTACAATGACACCATCTACTATAAATAAAAGCCAAGAGAATCAACGGTATGTGACGATGTTAATCTTATTTAATTTCAAATCTTGTCAAAATTTCGCAATAATTATATTTTCTTAACTAAAAGTAAATAGACTATATTTCAGTAGATATCAAAATTGTAAATAATTGATTAAAATCTACGAAAAACGATAGAAAGAAATCAGGTAGTTTAAGATAAACCAATACTTCAGATACAATAAACATACAGATTCTCTCTTATTATTCATATACGATATTAAATCGTTAACGATGTATGTTTTTATCCATTTACTTTTCGCATATTTTCTTTATCAGAGTATAATATTTCTTTTTGTCATTTTCAAATCATAAAATATATGTAAAATATCTAATTCTGTCAAGAATATTGCATTTTATCGGCATCAAACTTTCGAATTGATCGGTCTACGTATAACAAAAATTGATGACACACTGTTAATACTCACAAAAATTAAAATCAATATCACATGCAATGAAATACTTTACAAAATCTAATATAAGATCATTAAATTCCCCGAAGTCGTTAGCGGAACTTGATCAGATTGATTTGACACTTCATTTGAGTGAAACATATAAAAGAATCGTTATAAATTCATGTTTTTTTAGGAATTTGATTTAATTTGAGCATATAACTTGTTACTAAAGTAAAGAATAAAATACACTGCTAATTTTACTCTGAATGAATTCATCGAGTCTTCTAATTCTATTTCGAAGGTACCAGACAAATTTTATCGTAATACATAGTTTGACGACATATTTTCTCAGGATGGATTTTAAACATAAACATTTTTATTCGTTATAAAGTTGTATACTTATCCTTTTTTCGCAGAAAGAATCAGCTGAAGTTTCCAAACTCAGAAGTGAAACCGTATGTTCATATGAAAGAAATAGATAAGAATGCAAAAGCAGTCAATTCCAATGAAAACTATCTTATGAATGATTACGATCTGGATACTTCTACTACTGAAACGGTTAGTGACTTGTATTTAAAATTGTATGCCATTGTACTATTACTTTCGTTCATAATTTTATTTTTTATATCAGCAAACTTTTAAAGCATTGGCTTCTACGACTGGTGCATATGATGACTATGTAGTACTGATTACCATGTTTTCGTTTTTTATAAATTGTTTTACTGCTTTAGGAAGTTGAAGATTGTTCACTGACATCGAGAAGTACAGGATCATCATGTAAGTTTTTGACATTAGAAATTATTCGTCATAGTTACAGCTATATATAACTGTTCATAAAACAGCACAACTCTACATAATTGTTTTTCTTGTTTTATCTGTCACGATGCGACTGAATCAGATGCTTCAGATGAAAACTAAACTCATCAATAACGATATTACTGAGTATCTGCTGTCGTAAACTTCATAAAACATATTTTAATTCAAAACTGAAAGGAAATTTGTTGTCAGAAATAATGGAGAGTATATATCCATGCTATGAGTTTGTCCCAGCGTTTTATATTGTTTAAATATACGCCACATAAACTATTCGAAGGATTAATTGTATAAGTCTATATTTAGATAAGGATACTGTTTCGAAGCCTGCGATCCAATCGAGCAGCCAACCAAATAGAAAGAGTGAGTATTTGTTAAATAATACTTGATATTCTCTGTATTGAATTCAGCAGCATAACTTCGACTTTGAGTGTACTGGTTTTGATTCTATTTCAGTTTGCAATCATAACTCTGTTTATTTTATATACTTATAAGAAATTAACTAGAGACATTATGTATGAAACTTATCTACATTACTTCACTTTCTTGCAAAAGGACAGTGCATTGGCCATTTTCATCCCATGTTCTTTTTTAAATAATATGATCATTCGACAGAATCTTCTCTAAATTTTCTTATTTTACGTAACAACATACATTGTGATATCGGATGTTTCAAATACAGGCTTAACAACACATCCATTATGTTTAATATTCTTAAAGTGCATGGTTCAAATGTTGATACACGAATAACATTGAAATATTATTTATTAATATTTTATTACAATTTTTTCTGAAATATTGTTAATACTAAATATTAAATATTTATCATTAGCATTGTCTAGTTTTTCACAAGCCTTAGAAATATTGCCTTATAGACTACTCACGAAAACAACATCCCACCAAATCATATCAAAATCAACTCATCTGCTTCGTCCAATCTTTTCGAAAAATAATTTTCTTTAAAAATTCCAATTTTGCAATTTTAACATAGATAGATGTATCGCATCGGCTACTTTTGAATATTTTATGATTTATTGATTTTTCGATCATAATTTAAGTTTATACAGAGACTCTCTTGAAGTTGTTACAATTAAAGAGAACGACTTTTAGAAAACCTCCATCGTAGATATCGTTCAGAATACTCTACAGTTTTTTCGCGAAGAAATCATCTACCTTGCGTTCATTGAATAATAGTTTATGTGAGCATTTGAACGAACGTATGCTTCTCTACATGAGATACTAGAATTTCAAAATACGACAAATATAAATTGAAAACTGAGATAAATTTCTGAAAATTTCCTAAAAAAAAATTTTTATGCGTATGAACAACTTAGCAATTGAGAAAAGTACAGCTGGAGTCTATGCATGTTTTTAAACTGATCGTAATGCTGGACGGTTCACTGTCAATTATACTCTTAATAGTTTCCATAGCACTTTCTGAAGAAATAAATCTTAAAATTCAACGTCAAAAACTTATTGCGCTCTGTTTCAATTATTTTTCGCGTTCATATGTACAATATTTTTATCAGAAATTTTATATTGTTGGAGCCTTGAGAAGATTTTTATGGTGACGAAAACCGTATTCTAACGGCGGAGCGAGCTCCAAGTTTTTCATCTTCTGTTTACTTCGTGAGATAAATTAACTCATTTTCTTGCACTGCGAACTATCATTTTTTTATTTTTAAAAGAATCTTTCGAGAAAAATAAGTATAGGACATGTTTTTTAGAAATACTTGATTACGTTGAGTTATAGCAAGAGATTCTTAGCAACATTGCGATATCTGTCAAATTATATGTAGCTAGAGAGAATGAAAAAGTACGCCACGAAAAATAAGTAATATGTCGCTGTTTGTTTTTATTTCAAGATAAATTTTGAAGAATAATTTGCTTTCTATTTCCATTACTACTCTAAATTCCGTACAGTTTGATGCATGATTCTCAAGTGTTTTTCATGATGAATTTATCTTAAAACAAAAGTAGTTTTCTAAGTGTGATGGTGATTTGTTTTTTTTTAAATCCATAAATTGTAATTAGCCGTATTCAAACGCAAATCCTTATTTGAGTTCATCTCAATCTTTGCAAATTGATATTTTTTGAGCTTTATTCTTTTTCTCTAGAGATTACGAACAACAAAAATACAAATACAGAAAACCGATCTAATACTTCGGACAATCAACACAATAAAATGCGAGTTAGGCATACAGTCACCATTACTCAAAATGCGCCTGGCATGGAACGTATTTTTAATCAAGCATGGGTACGTACTAAACAGTCAGAGAAGTGGCGAAGCGTATTTTTGGTTGAGCGAAAATAAAAGTATCATGTTATTCATTGTAGACTTCCATATTTCTTAATAAGGCAAAACATCAGCGACCGGCCTCACGTTCAGAAAAAAATAGTATTACTAAGAAAAAGGATGATTTTGCTGATTGGATGCGTTCTTGGCTAGTTGAACAGTCATTGTGGTCGAGTAAAGATTATCAGGCCGCTCTTTTAACATATATTAGTAGAATATACGGACAAAGATTCCACGTAAATCGTATATTCACTCAACTGGAAAAGAACGTGGAGAAACTAGACGAACTCGATCTACTCTATGAATTACTTCGGAAGACAAAACAAAGACATGGTGTATATTTAATAAACGAAAACGAAATTATCTAATGTTAAAGTTTATTTTCTAGATGCTAAAGCATCACTTAATAAATGGGAAGATAATTCTCGAATCAATCGTCGCCTCCAAGATCTAAAAGTTATCTTTGAATTCAATAGTAATTGCAAATCATCGAACCATCCATTTCACGTGACACCATCCAATCTGAAACAGATTGTAGATAGACAAAAAATAAAATCTTACTTCGATTTAGGTTGCGGTGATGGTACTATTACAGTTGGAATCGGAGATTATTTGGGTCTATTTAAAGAAAATATTTTCGGAGGTGATGTATATGAAGGACAGAACGAACAAATTACATATGTCAAAATAAATAAAAGCCAATCAACTATAGATCTTCGTTAGTATAGTTTTTAGTTATTTTTATGTATTGTTCAATTCTTTTCTTTTAAAGCGTCTGATCGTGTCGATCTTATTACTTCTTTTGTCACATTTCATCATATTGATCAACTTGAAACCACACTCAGTGAACTTGTTCGTATTCTTCGACCAGAAGGTTATTTAATTGTGCGCGAGCATGATTGCAAGAACGAACATGCACTTAGAGCCAAATATCTTAATTTTATTCATGCTATCATGATGATTGCGAAAGTTGGAGAGTTTGCCAATTCTTCAAGCAATCACAATACCAAAAATGAAAATGTATTGCATGAAGACAATGAAAATAATACCGACACTTGGTTGACACAAAAGTCATCTATTATAGAATATACTCGATCAATTCATTATCGAACATGTGCTGAATGGCAGCAGCAGTTTGAAAGCGCTGGCTTTCATCATTGTGCCACGTTATCTTATGGTGCTGACGGTTCAAATAATCCTCAGAAATTGTTTTATGCTGTTTATCAGCTACACAAAGCATAATAGTCAATAATTGATGGATAAAAGAAGAATTAAAAAGAAACCTTCCGTGAATTTTAGGATCCTTATTTTTCAGACTAACATAACGCGTGATAATACCATTATCTTCAGTATGCTTTTCTATTGATAAATTACAACTCTTCATTTAATTCATAATTATTTACGTATGTTACAATCGTAACTAATCATAGCTCATTCAGATAAACTGGTACACAAAAACGAATAACCCAAATAAGTTCACTTTCGTTAAAATGACTTCTTAAAATCTGTGAAAATTCGATTCTTTCGGTTTTCCTCGTTCCAGCGAATACCACATTATAAAAAACGGTTTCGATGTTCATATTCCACTAAATTGTTATTCTATCAAAATAGGTTGCTGTGAAGAAAACAATTTTTTCTTATTGGTCAGATTACTCATGAAAAGAGTAGATCCCTTGAATCAGATACATTAGTTTCTTAATGACACCGGAACATAATCTCAAACTTTCATATGAAAAATGTTTCGGATATCAATGCAAACAAGTGACAAATTCTAGAAGAATATCGCTACGTATGATCAAATGAATTCGTTGATTTTATAGCAGCGAAATTTATTATTTATATACTCAAATATTCAAATGTAGGCAATTTTATCCGATCTTGAGACATAGTTGACTATCAGTTGATTAGCTTGATTTTTGAACTTTTAGTTTATCGGTGAAATCTTAATAATCTATCGAATCCTAAATCAAGCAATTTAAAGTATGAGTATAATGCAGGGGGAAAATACGAGGCTCTTGTACCGCAGCATACACTATTGTACTTTCTGGCTATGTCAAAGGGATTCTTGCAAAATTTTGAGATTTTTCAATATTTCTATTTACAAGTGTTCCAGTCTATAAATTGAAGTTTAGGTTATTTAAGTTTATTAAATGTAACGATCTAAATACATCACTGCACTTCGAAATTTGAGTATTTGTAGAATAAGATCTTGTATTTCAACTCTAATAATCGATAGACTTACGTAGACTGAACTATCATTAATGTATCAAAATATTGTAGTCAGGATAAGTATTGAAAAAGGTCAAACATTTACAAGAATATCTTCGGCATGGTATGAGAATACAATGGAGAACGTTGAATTACAGGTGTCTCATACTTTCTTCCTTGTCAACAATGGCAAAGGCGTCTACTTTTTCTCATTGAATTAAAATTTAGTCAAGTCAGGTGCGAAATATTTGCATCAAACGTTACCTTTATATAAATATGACTGGTTTAACAGAAATTTTAAAAACTATTTTCGTATGCACCTAGAAACGACTTTGCTTTTAGTTTCGTATCCCTTCATATTTAAGTATCCGTTATAACTCGAAAATATTATATAAGCATATTGAAATCTAAGTTTGAATTAAGACTTGTGTGACTTCTGTCTACTAAGGTCTAGCAACTTTAGGAGACCAAATAACTTTTAACATGTGGGTGTAGCAGCCGAAAACATGTGAAACTAGATTCTTGAGTAAAAAAAAGTGTAATCTTGTCAAAATATGTATATATTTACGTGCTTCTATATAAAAAAAACAGTTTGGTAAAATTTACAGAAAGACAAGACTTTCAGTGTTTTAATATTGAGATATAATGGTTTTATAAAATATCAAATCTGAACTTCTGTTAATGATTCCCTAGCAGCATAATTGAGAAATAATCGATTTGGTCTTTCAAAATCACTGTTTTAACGAAAATCGTAATCGTATTATTTAACAATATTGTCAATTTGTGTTTGTTTTTCAGCTTTGCAGCTCCTGATTCTAAAAGAATTGAAGTGGGATCTCTAATTCAGACTGTTGTCCAAGAAAATATCGAGAAACAAATGGAGGTAATTATTTCACCGAGAAGAACATAAAACAATGGGTGTTATTGATTATTAGGAATTTGGCTGTTGAGATTCCATCAGCCATAAGATTTGAAGATGATATTGCTCGTAAAACCGACATTGACTTAAACAAGGAAGGATCTGATCAAATACTAGAATCAGGTAACCACTTATTGTCACATAATGAGATCAACAAATTATTTGCATTTTAGAATCTGCAGGAACACGTACAGTCAAACAGCAGTTAGAAGATTCGAACAGCAAAAATAATTTAAGTAAGATATAACTTTCCAATAAATTAATCGATAAGAGTGTCCTTGAAAACAACAGCAAATCTGAGGCAAACGTTGGTAAGTTCGTTTGAGTCATAGATCAAGTTTATCAATACAACCATTTGAACAACAGCTCATAGATCGTTTCTCTTTGCTAGAAAGAAATAAAGTACACCATCATCATTAATAACCAGTCGTAGTAGTGAGACTCATTCATTATGTTCAGAGTGTCATCCTACGATAAGTAAGTATGAACAATTTGCTGTATTTTAGACCAACCAAAGAGGTAAGTTTCTCTATTCATAATTTTTAACCAGTAGATAAATTGTTGTTTTCCTAAGTGAATAAAATATAATAGAAGACGCAATCTTTCATTGAACAATTCATTAAATAATCGTAATTAATCAAGATGTAAAACTGTTCAAATGACTGTTTTAAGAAAGTTAGGCTTATGATCATTTTGATTTCAATGGAATCATAAAAAACTTGAAGTTCATAACAACTTTTATCAAAATATTGTGAAATTCAGATGCTTAAATAAAATCTCACTAACAATAAATACCGACTTTTTTCGAATTTTTTTTTCATCCAAAACGAAAAATCATGAAGAGATTCTAATGCACGTTATCATGTCGATCAAAAATCATTAATGAACTACTAATCATAATCATTACTTTTTGTTATTCATGGGTTTACTTAGATATTACAATTTTCATAAACATGCGTTCTAGTTTCCTAAAATAACTAAACTACTTACGAGATCTGGTTCCACGCGAGTTTTCTTACAGGGCATCAATGTGGAGCCAGGGCCCGCGTATTCACGAGATGGATCGACTCACGAGATGACAATTTATCTTTATGGGCAAGCGATCAATATCGAAATCAGCTACTTTCATTTATTGGTAAAATCTATGGATAAGAACGTAACATACGATATACATTGACTCCACTTAGAGTGCAATGCAATAAATCATCTGAACTCGGCCAGCTATTTGATGTGATCCAACATTTTGAGAAACAACCTGGTTCATCAATTGAACAATATAAAAATATTTTAATACTGATTCTGTTTCTTAGGTTCTAAAGAGTCTCTTCCACGATGGCAACTTCAATCTCGACCTGGTCGTCGTTTAGTCGAAATTAAGGCTATGTTCGAGTATAAACAGGCTGATCCATCTTCACTTGAGGGTTTGAAAATGTCTTCACCATCTAATGTAAAAGAGGTTATTAATCGTGCTTTCATTAAAACTTATTTCGATATGATTGGTCGGGATGGTTGTATTACAGCTGGCATTGGGGAATATTTACATTTAAGTAAAGAGAATATTTTTGGTGGCACCGATTGTGAAAGTCAAAATGATAGAGTGACATTTGTAAATGTTGATTTGTGCCAATCAATTATCAATCTTGGTAATAATCTTTTTGATTCACTCAATAATCCTCTTACTTTCGTAAATCTTTTATTGATTATTGTGTTAATTCCTAAACTGTATTCGACAAAGAAAAAGATCAGTGTGAAAAAAAGCTATGCAAAATATTTCATAATAGATCACAGTAGAATTGAAAAATCTGTTAAATAGGTGTACAGATTCGTTGAGACCAATGCGACTCACTGAGAAAATACTCTTTACATATCGGCGAGGTATTTTAGTTTAATACACAAGCTTTTTCATGCTCATATAATCTATTGTTTATCTAGCTGATAATCGAGTTGATCTTATAACGTGTTTCGTTACACTTCATCATATTCCTGAGTTTGAGCTGATGCTCTCTGAATTTGTGTGTATTATACGACTAAATGGGTATCTTATTATACGTGAACACGATTGCAAAAAGGAGCGTACACTTCAAGCGAAGTATCTTAACTTCATTCATGCCTTCGTGATGATTGCACGTGTCGATGAATTTGGCTCCATACAAAATAACCATTCAGAACACAACCAAGTTAAATCTGACGGTGATCTCTTAACTCATACCATTAATTTGAAACAGCAAAAATCAAATATTATTGAATATATGAGCTCAATTCAATATCAAATACGTACTGAATGGCAGCAGAAATTAGAAAATGTTGACTCTCATCTCAGGACTACACTTGATTATGATCAAAATTCATCTACCAATCCTCAAACTTCGTATTATGCTGTTTTTCAACTAAATCTCAAGTGATTCTATTTTATTGGATAATGAATAATCGATTTGAGCTCAGCTATTAAGTTTTTTCATTTGCTTACATTCTGTACTAATTTAATTAATTCTTACTCCTACATTTCCCTATAAATTATAAGATGAACTAGAATGACACCGTTGCCAAAAAACAAGAATTAAATCACATGATTATTCCCATTCATTCATTCTAACACGTCTGCAAGAAATAAATATCAAAATCTCAAAGAAATTAAACATCATATTTTATGTTTCAGAAAACCTTTGTATTATTTCAAGATATAGAAATTCACTATTGTGAATACATCACTATTAAAAAGAAGTTGACGAAATTAAATCGAATCCTTGAAAATACCCAAGCAGACAAACCTTTTGGAAAACGCGTTTAAACACTCAATCGGGAACTGCGACTGCGAGTCATTAACGCTCAGTAAAGAAACGAAAGAGACGCGTTTTTTACGCAGAATTCTCACTTTCAGAGCGTGAAAACGGGTAAAAACTCCAATCCTCAGTGTTTAAACGAATTAGTTTTTAAGTNGAGCGTTAATGACTTGCAGACGCAGTTCCCGATTGAGTGTTTAAACGCGTTTTCCAAAAAGTTTGTCTGCTTTGGTACTTCAAATAATAGGTACATGTGCATGCATATCAATATGATCTACTCTCTTGATACATGATTGACGTAAATGATAAAAGATTAGTTGAAAAAATCCATTCATACTGAATATGTTACATTCAAATCCGACATGAATTTTTGTTCTTCTAAACACTTTTTTCTAACTCTGCATTAAGTTACCCTAGAAAAACTTACCTATTGATTAATTGGTTGATTGATTGATATTATTATCGAAAGGAACAAGAAACAAATTCATTAAATAATTTTGAATATAATCATTAAGTCTCCACCACAGCGTACTAAAACTGTTGAATGAATTTTTTCTTATAGTTATGATATGAATCATCTGGCCTCGGATTACGATTTTTTTAAAGTAGGAATTTTGCATAGGATCAAACTATTTTAAAATACAGGGAAATTGGAAATCCGTTATTTAGAATTTAAATTGCATGTTGTTTTTAATTCTTTTCTCAGTCGATTTAACATGAGCAGTAAATTTTTGTCAAGATTTCATTTTCTACCGATAAATGAAACGAGTCATACAACTAAATTCAATCGAAGTATGTTTATTTATATGTTAACACATGAATACAAAATAGATCATGGTGTAGATGTAGATAATAGCTCGTCTTGCTTTTACGCTGACATCTGCCCACCCACACCTAGGGCAACAATGTTGTTCTGTACTTTATCAAATATTTAGTTTTGATACGTGAGAAAAAATATAAAGCAAATAAATAAGGTTAATATATGGAAAAAACAAAAAGAATAATTAGTATTTTTTTGTAATAAGTTTTCAGAAACTCTCTGAATAATCGAATTCACGCCAAGATGATTCAGTTATATAATCAAATGATTTGAATTGCTCATCTTCAGTGGATGTATAGGTTGATTGCCCAGCAGCTATCCACTCGGTTCTGGTCTCTACCCCTGCATCCATTTGCGAATCCAATAGTGACTGTTGACTGAATCGTTTCGATATATCATTTTTAACCAAAACAAAAAACACGAACATTCAATAACAATAAAATTTCTTTTTACTTACTGTTGAAGCGTGATGAACTGGCTTGAATGAATCGGACTCAATTTCTTGCCAATTAATTTGATGACCTATTTTAAAAAATGGGTGCTCACGGATTGAACCATGTGGCGAATTAGGTGAGCCTAAACGCTTTTCAGGATTGGTTTCTAGTAAACCAGAAACGCACGCACGAGCTTCGGCACTCGTATGAGAAGGCAATCGTAAAATTCGTGCTACACTTTCTGGTTCATTTGTTTCTTCGTCGTTATTTTCAAGTAATTGAGAATGAACATCAATTTGTTCACTATGTAACATTTGTATAAACATGACTCCGAGTGCCCAAAAATCAACTGGATAGCTATAACTGTCATTTAATGTACCTGTTTTCAAACGTCTAATCTATAGAGAGAGAAAAATCATTCGATAACTTTTTTCTTTTTTTTGGTAAAACCATTTTTACTTCAGGAGCCATATAACTGTAAGTACCACAAAATGTATGACAAGTATCATCATGAGTTTTTAATAGTCGTCCAAGTCCATAATCAATTAAACGTATAGAACCTGTTGAGTTAACAATGACATGTTCTAGTTTTAGATCTCTGAATAGTTTAAAAAGGAATGTTGAAGAAAAATTCTAATGTATTGAATATTACCGATAAACAATATTTTTCGAATGTAAATATTGTAAAACGCAAATGATTTGTGCTACATAAAATCGTATTTCATCCTCATTCATTCGTTTAGTTTGAATTTTATGAGATAAAGTTCCACCTTGCACAAGTTCCATAACCAGAAATAGATTACTCTGAAAATAAATCATTTTTTTCTTAAATAGAAATAAATTGAAATTTACTCCTTGATGAAATGCACAATAAGCTTTAACCATGTAGGAATTTCCATAGCTATAACGAAATAAAATTTGTTTTTCAATTTCTAATTGTTGTCGTGCTTCTGCCTTTTTTCCATCAACTACTTTAATAGCGAAGTATTGTTTTGATAAAATATGTTGAACACAATAGACTTGAGCATAACCACCACTGCCAAGACGACCAACATATTCAAAATCACTAAATTTAGGTAAAGATATTCTTCGCTGGTTTTCTAATGGAAATCCTGGCAGCGGATCAAATGTCGGAAAATTAGTTGAGGACGTTGTTGAAAGTTGTGTAGGTTTGCTTGGAATGCTTAGTGGAGAACGATCTTTGGTTAGGATGGGAGGCTCGATTGATGAAATACGAGATGGCTGATCATTTGACTTTAGACACAATTCTGGAACATTTGATTCACAGTAGTGGTGTATTAGAAAATGGCATTCTGACAACAAAAAAGCTAGCATTGATGATCTTCTTTATAAAATGAAAAGTTTGTTAGTTAGTACACACTCTTTTCATACTACTGTGCAAAGGTTGCTTTGGTTAGTTGCTCATCGTTCGTTGTTTGTCATGCCATTGTTATGTATGTAACCTTATTATTATTATTATTATTATTAGCAGTAGTAGTAGTAGTAGTAGTGTTATTATTACAAACATTGATTCAACTGAGAGAGAAAAAAGCGTATTGTATATGAAGATGATATTTATAAAAAAAAAAAGTCTTACTACACTGTTATATCTCTTGATAGTTTAAGACACTAATATCAATTATGTTCCAAGGTTATAATTTTCTTAATTCACTGCATATATATATATATTGATGATATGACGATTGTAACAAGATTATTCGTACTGAACATCACCTTTAACATCTTGGATATAAATTTTTAGTTTTAAAAAAGTATAAGATTGCACTCTTTAAGATTTTTATAAGCGTGCTCCCATTAGTTCAATTTTGAAGGAAGGATTTTGAATATTCTAGATCAGTTTGAACCTTGCTGCTACAGTCACTTTGTAGATTATTCCGTTGCTAAAGAATTTTTGACAAAAAATCTGGTACTTGCTGTCTTTGTTTATCACGGGAAAATATTCGATGATTTTTGTTCATCAGTTTTCCATCAACCCCCTGTGATACTACAAAAATGTAGATAATTACCTTTTACCTTATCTATTCACTTGATTGGTATGATAATAATTAGAGGGCAACCTAAAACTATTGCCTTAGAACTTATACTCAGTATTTTTCTGCCCAATAACATAATTGTAATTCAATAAAGCAATATCGTAATTAAGTATTAGCTTTTTAATTTAAATAAAGTTTAAGAACACATGATAATTCTCATTAATATATTTTTTACAATTTAAAGTTGTTAGTTAAAGCATCACACTGAAAATTATCACTTCTCTCTATTTTACTTGTGCATTGGAGAGCATTTCGAAATATTTGCGAACCACAATGATTACAATGACTATGATTGCCAGTAATTAGTGAGATAGCAAATATTGCTTCATACGATTCGAATGTATGTGAATTATCATCTGTCGATTGAGGATCTATACTAGGAGGTTCCTCGTTAGTGATAAAGAAAAGGTTATTAATATAACTTTTATGATATAAAAAAAAACAGTAAATAAATAATACATACTGGAAACATCGATTTTTTACACCAAAATGAAATATCGTGACAACATTTTTTATGTGTCACAAGAGAGCAATGAGAGCATTGAAAACCTTGATAATATAAACCCCTGAGAAAAAGAAATTATTCTAAATAATATATTAACAAAATAAAATACCACATAAATCCATCACACAAAGCGCAATGCACTGGATGATTAAATTGTTTTAGTTTCATTAAATGACCTTGAATAATTTGTGGACTTGTTTTTTTACGAAATTTAAAAGATATTGAATTTCCAATTCGTTGAAGTCTGAATTTGAAATTATATTCTCCCTCAAGGAGCAACTGAATAAGCCAAGAAAGAAAAAAAATACATTTTAATCGAATCAAAACAATGTGCCTCACACTAATACTAATAGATGATGCCCATTGTACTTTTCTATATTGATTAGGATCAGCAATACGAGACCAGAGATGATCAAACCATAGAATAACATCAGCAATGATTTCTGATTTTAATGTTAAACATATAATTTGACAATAATTTCCCTCATTTATATTCCAATCAAATGTTTCATTTAACGAAACAATAAATGCTGTCGCTGATTTACTTGGTTGAAGTTGGATTTTGCCACCTGTGTAAGGAGCAAATTTAATAAAATAAAAAAAGCAAATTTTTCTTTTCTCTAATTCAACAATATGAATATCATTAATTTTAACTGTTAAAAATTCTAATTAAAAAGGTTTATTTTAAATAATACGAAAAGCTTCTGAAAACCTTTTCAAATATGTTAAATCTACATTACTTCTCAATGTTCAGTATAGTATAGCATCAATTATTTTTACCTTCATTCGTTGACGATCCGATTAATTTTTTTATATAGAATAATGTGTTCTCTAAATTTCGCTTTGGAGAATTTTTAAATGTGTCAATTGTTATTTGTAATGTTTCATTGTCTTCCATCTGAAATGTATGCAGAAAAATATTGAAAAATGTATCTGAGTTGATAAAGATTAAACAAAACAAAATGAGGAAAGTTTCATCATCATTCTAGATCTTATCATTATTTCAAAACGAATTATTTATTTAGCATCGCCCATAATGTACTAAAACTAAATGCAGAGAAAAAACTGTTTCTATTCACTAGTAAAGTGTTATATGAAAACTTCATTTAAGTACTATCAGTTACGATGAATTTGGATTAGGTTCTTGTGGATATGTCGTTTCTATTATGTTCATTTGTATATCGTTTGAACGATATTGATGTAATGTCATCTTACAATTACGATCAAACATTTCAACAATATATTATAAGCTTTCTTTCAAAATATTGACTTAATTATTGTGATATAGTAACATATATATTCCATTATATGTGTTAGTTTTGTTTTTCTGTTCTTTGAATTCCTTTCGAATGAGTCATCATATCTATATTCATATATATATATATGTTAGCGTCCAAACTGAGATCACGTCCAATCTCAGATTGGCCTAGGCGAATCTCTAATCCGAGATTGGACGCGTCCAATGTTGGATTGAGCCGAAATTTAACATTAAAACGTGAATTACTCCGTATATCGGTATAGGATTCAAATTCTTATTGATGATTTATGATCAGAATAACCCATCCCCTGACACCCTCACCCTCACCCTCAAGATTGAAAAGTGTCCATAACTCATCGAGCCTTTAATTGATTCGTTTATTGATGATTACGTTACTTAATATGATGATACTTCATCGAAGTTCATAAGTAGAAAATCGAATCCTACACCGATATATTCCATTATATGTGTTAGTTTTGTTTTTCTGTTNGTCTAAAGCTACGATTGCATCATGGATAGAGCCCAATTTTATCTTTAAAAGCTTGTTGAAATATTTCTAAAAAATAAAGGGTATGTCGTTTTGACGAAAATTAATATTAAACATAAAGTTGTACTCATAGCTAATTAGATATATATCTTTTGTTAACATTTGACTTGATAATGATATCAAAGAAGAGAATTTTCTATACATTCCTCTATATCTATAGTAAGTGAAAAACAACTAATCCTAAGACTTCATGATTGCACTGACTACTATATAGTTCTTATGCGAAGTACAGACAGTTGATTATCATTATGTGATCAAATAAATAGCATTTAGAAGATTTTCGGTTTGTCAATCGAGGAAACATGACACATAGAATGAAAGTAGTAGGTCTCGTACATTTTAATGGCAGTAACAAACAACCTAGTAGATAGTCGTCTAAATCTCAAATATGAAAACCATGAAAATTGCTGTTTAACTTTCGACGAAATCAGAATACCCTGCTAAAATTCAACAAATAGATATCGTTCTATATTATGTTACATGCAATCGATAAGAATATACTGTTTTTGTATACTTTGATTGATTTTCATCTATTTCAAATCTAAAATGTATTGTCTCAATATGAAATACTATTTTCTATAATGTATTACAAAATAACCTAATCAGAGTGATTTTAGCTGCCGAAAAGCGACATTAACAAGTGTTATCTCTCGTCTGAGTAAGTGTGCTTCTTTGATTTTCAGAGTAGATTATTATACGTAAAATCTCAAACAGGAGCATCTCTACATACATTGATTTGTGTAGTATGAAAGGTCTCTTTTCCGAATATGTATTGTAACAGTCAACAATTAAGTATTTGTTTTTATAATAACTTAACAAAGAAAACATTTTCAAGTGCTATATAGTTTTCTTCTCAGAAGATACGTTTTAAGAGTCATTGTATTATAAAATTTGCATAAATGTTTTTTTATATCGCCTGAAACGTTATTCAACTAGTAGTTACTTACGTTATTTCTTTAGTATTTTATAGAAAATAAAAGCATTCATTGATATATGACAGTGATTTTCTACTGATAAAACATTTTTCGATCGACAAATGTCGTTCTCCCTTTTATTTTTTGAAATAAACGTATACCCTTTATCCAATACGTATTGAAACCTTCATCAACGAAGCAGAAAAAAAGAGGAATCATATTAAGCACTCAAATCGACTATTGACGTTTTTGTAAACTATCATTATTTACTCAAATAGGTAATCTACGGAGTATCTTTTCAGTCTTTTCTCTTACCTTATAGAAAAATAATACTAAAATATATCAACTATCATTCAACAGTTGTGTTAGAAAGAAACTTTTCAAGAATCTCTTAAATCATATGGATACAACTGTTTAAAATTCATGAATAACTAGTTATATGTAGTGTTGAAAAAGAAAAGAAATTTTTTGAATATCACGTCAAAATCTTAATAGGTAAAACGAAAAAATAAAAATGTACTTCCGATTTGATATAATTACAAGATAGATAGACTTTAGTGGGTGGTCGGTAGAAAAGCAAAAAATTGATGTCAAGGATGATTTTATTTATACTTGAAAGTAGTTGATACAAATTGGAACCAGTTCTAAGTTGTTTTAATCTCTGAGCATTATTCAATAATCATTAAGTTCATCAGAAGTATTCTAGTATCTAGCTATTCTATTCTTGATTATCTAACGGTTAAAAAATTCCAGCTAATTTTACTAACTATATCAAGAAGATCACGAATTGAATCGATGAAGAGCAAACTGAGTTATACTGATGAAATTAATACTGAATTGTTGAATACTTTAGTTTCATAGCATTAATCTTACAAAAAGAAAAGAATAATTCATTATCGAAAACTTTCCTGTATTCTTCCAATCTTTCTATTCAAATAATAGCATCAACTTATCAAGAGAACGACAACAAAAAAAAACTACTCCGCGGCGGGGAATCGAACCCCGGTTTCCCGCGTGACAGGCGGGGATACTAACCACTATACTACCGCGGACAATCTCTTTCCCCTGTAATCAATTGCAAAATCAAACTGATGGTTCATGAAACTACAAAATTAAGCAAAATAAGAGTATCATTAAATATAGAATCGATGTTAAAAATATGTCCATTTATAATCAGTGAATGAAACAAATATGATCCATGTGACAATCATCTATTTTTCTTTTTGTTTATGTTTTTGCAAAAAGACATTACAGTATAGCAAAAATAATTCTTCGTTTCAACACGAAATCGAAATCATTCAGTCAGATTTTACCTGCTCTAGACAATGATTAAGAAAAAAAGGAACTACAGAGGTTTGCGATTTATATGTTCTACTATGATATTGGACTTGACAAATCGTTAACTGCTGCAGACGCTCAAAATCTAATAGAAAAGCGTTCAATCTGAATTAACAGATGATATCAGACAAACAAAAGACTTAAGAAACGACGGACAATTCAAGCCGCCTACACATTGATAATTGATTATAACTTATGCATGAAATGTATATTTCTCACTGTTGATCTTGCAGTCGTTGGGATCGGAAATCTTTAAAGAAGCAATTGAAATCGATTATTCAACGATCTGAAGCCTTAGTGAAAATCCATTGGAAACCATGGTGAAAAGAGAGACAGAAAGAGAAGGAGAGAGTAGCATGAATAAAAACTCGACAACTTATAGAAAAAGGATAAAGCTGCATACTTTAATGCTTCATGTTTCAGTAGTACCATTTACTATGAATTTTTTTTATTTTCATTCTTTTTCAAATTTAGTCTCATTGTTCCAGATTGTTAGTCTTATACACGTTCGATATGCCAAAGTGTCAAAAATTGAATAAAATATTTGTTAAATTTATCAGATAACATAAATTTAAAATCAATCGAATACAATTGAAGATTGTTTTCTTTAGAGATCTTCATATTGATTTCTAAATTATCATTTAAATAAGCACAACATAGACAATTAATCTTCAATAGAAAGAAATTTCGGTTGTAATTCATGTTACTATTACAATATCACTACATATTATTCTACAAGGTATATTCATCAAGACTCGATCTTTTTCGATTCTAGATTGAAATTAAAGCATAGAGATTCGTGTAGAAAAATAACAACATTTAGTTACAAATCTTTACTACGTAATTTGCTAGATAAATCAGAGACGATGGTTACCATGGTAAAGCTTCTGATTTTCTAAACATCAATTTACTTGTTATGTAATAATTAAGTTTCATACCTAAAAGCAGAAGATAAACGTCGAATTTCATAACTATCTAATAATGTTCAGTGAATAAATGTATTTTTTTCTGTTCTCTATAGAAGTTTTATAGAAAATTCCTAATGGTTACATCGATTTTTCTTTATTAAAGCTCTTTAAATTGTTTTTTTCATGCCAAATAATAATTGAGCTCAATGAATAAAAACATTTTTCGTCTGATGTTGTTATATATTAAACCAGTGATATTATACGTGAGATATGCATTCATATAGAATAGTATAGTGATGATATTAGATATTTCAACTTCAAAGTTTGCGTGCTTCAAATGAAAACATTTTTTCGCCGTTCATATTTTTCCCCTCTTTTCTTTGATATTCAGATTAACAAAGTCCACTTTATATTGATATCTATTTATTAAAATAGCATAAAAAAGACAATACAAATGTTTACAATTAGAGTCATATGAACACTAATTTTACCCCATATAAAATTATTTTAATAAAATTAATTTAGTTAATTATAGCGACTATCTCATACTAATTAGAGTACTGTAATAATTAAGTATTCTCATATACAATTGACTGAACAATTAATTCAATTATTGCGTAGCTTATGAACAGTGATCATCACTTCCCGAATTAATTTAAAATTCTAATGCATAAATGATAGTTTTTGTGATTTTTCAGATTGACTCGTACTATTATTATCAAATGTTAATACTATTCCAAATAGCCACATATACAGATGCATTCCTACTTCTGAAACGTATCTTTCATAGTCTAGTGAACAGAAGTTTTCTGAAGGATTAACATATTCCTTCGGGCTACTACTTTTCATTCAGTTTAAATAGCTGATATACTACTAGAACAGAATCCTTTGATTTAATTCCAGTACTGTTTTATTGTAAAGTTCTATCATTAGATAGATGTATATTATGACAAAGGAATAATGCAGTAGTATAGAAAATATTTATAAAATTGTTTCATTCTGAGTAAAAATTTGACGAAATACATGTTTGAGAGAAATAAAATCAACTGTAGCTATGATATGAGATATTGATATCAATATTACATATCGTATTCTTTTGTTTCGAAACATTTTTAGTAAGCTTTGATGTTAACTCAGTACAAATAAATTATAATAAGCAGTAATTTTAACTAATCAAAATAATTAATAGATTTGAATTCTATAATGATTTTCTTCTTCTTCTTCTTCTTCTTTATTATCAAGTAGCTGACCACTCTCCAGTCAACCATTGATAAATGTGCAATTTAAATATTACCATTGTCAGATTGAACTGCTATTCAAATTCTTGTATGATGCATATTTACTTGAATGTTTATTCAAGACAAAAGTTTTTAAGTCTAATCATTATTTTCATGTATGATAATATATTGTTTGTTTGAATGAAGAAAGTGCATTTTTTTCTCGTGACAATCACATGAGAGTCAATTTTTATTCAATGAAAGATTCTACATATTATTTTTTTGAAGCAAATATTAGATTCATATAAAATGATTTTGCATACTGATAACGATGAATTGAAAATAATTTTTTTTCACGTCAGTAGTATTTCAATGAAACTGTTTACAATTGTTTTGACAACAAATTGATTTAAAGGAAATTATTTAATGTTAAAGTAGCTGCAACGATTGATCCACTTGCAATACCAAAAAATAGAGCTGCTGTCATTAGATAAGCAGCTCTCTCGCAATTATCAAGACCAACAATTGCTTTAGGACGAGCCATAAACGTAACTGTTGCAAGAAGACCATTTGTGATTCCCATTAATGTTATTAAGCCAAGGAGTAGTATATTATCTATTTGATGACGTTCAAATATTATTAAAATAAACAGAGTTCTTAAAATTGCAGAGAAGAAACAAGTTTTCGAGGAAAAATATTTATGAACTTTAATAGCAAGAGTACGGCCAATTAGATCACCAAGATTAAATGCTGCTATGATAAAAGGTGAACACCACCAAGCTTTGCCTTGTCCAGTAAACCAACCATTGTTTGATGCACTACAGGGAATACCAGGCCATAATAAGAGACTTATAAATAATACATAAAATTGAACAAATAATTGAGTTTTTAAAATTTTTATTAATGTCCAAAACGAAAGTTTAGTTTCAACAAGATCTAATTTAACAGTATCACCAAGTTTTTCTTGTCGAAATGATGCCATCTGTTGACTCATTCTTTTACTAACTGGAGGAATATGTATTAATGAATAATAAACATAGATAGCTATAGAGCATAATATTATTAATACACTCATAAATATATAGAATGATAATTGGTCTTGATCAATTTTACTATGTAAAAGTAAAACAAACAAACGAATGATTGTATTTGCAGTAACATTCAAAACTCCCGCAATACCAGTACCAACTTGAGCAGCTTGAGTAAACGAACCAGTTGTAAATAATCCAGCAATACCATAAATAGGAGATTCAGTAATTGTATTCAGAGCTCCGACAGCTGCAAAAGAAAATATAAGAATTATTTTATTTTTTATAATCATAACTAGTATTGCAATGATAATATAACCGATGAAACCAGGTATAACACGTTTTGTAAATCCATATTTATAGACACCAAAATATAATTGGATTATATGTAAGAAAAACATTGTTGAACCAATTGATACAGTTCCCCAAAAATCTAAATGATCATTAGGAAAAAATTTAATATAATAATTTTGTGCAGATATTAACGATTGATATGCCCATAGTACAACCAAATTAAGAAAAAGAAGACGCCAATATATTCCATTGTGATACTCTGATACATCAACTTTTGTTTCAATAAAAACAGGATTCAGATCGATGTCATTTTTTTGTAAATCTGGATTTTCTTTGAATTTTTCGGGATGCATTTTTATCTACATGAGAAATAAATTCGTAAAATTTCCCTTAATGAATATATCAAAGGACTAAAATCAACAATCATTCATTTCGTTCATTGACCTATTTCAAAAAGTACAGTTATATTCTCTAATAGATAAATCTCGGCCGTTAAATAATGGACTGTTGCAACGTGCTAGAGAACGAGAAAAAAAGAAAACGTTTTCATTTCGTATTGTTAATTCTTAATGTATATAAACACATGGTCGATAGACGGTTTATTGTTTACAAAAAATTATCTACTTTAATTTCGGGCTTTACATAATGATAGTTACAAGGGTTAACTCTCACTCTCGTTATTTTTTGTAGTTTGAATAAAAAATTTTATGCGTGTATATGTACAAAACAAAGATAGAAATAATGATAAAATATGTTTTATTCAGTTTAATCAAAGACTTGCTTCTAAGAAAAAAAAATGTTAAGAATTTATATACCTATATCATGTTATCAATGTTAAATATTGACGCTACCAAAATTGAAATACATATAGAATCATTGCTGTTCTCTCGTAATACAGCAGCTTCATCATTAACTAAACAGCTGAAGTTGCCTCTGATGTGTCTATTAACAAGTCTCCTTCGAAGACACCTTATAACTTGAACACACATGAGACAGTAGATTTATCAAAAGAAATTGTTTCTATTTCACTCACAGTAAGTTTGCTATATCTTCATTACTTTTTTAAATATCTGTGTATTACATATACCAATAGTTGTTTAAATAACTAAAACTCGGGATAAGATCTTGTGAAACCCTTCACAAAGTTCACTGTATATGTTCGTAGCGCGTACTTTATATTTTTAAAGCTTGATTCTATTGAATAACAAACGGATTACTAAAAGATTGGATTCATTTATACTGAAATGAGTAAATTTTTCTTGTGAAACCAGCCATGGTTTGATCGAAGACATACCGAATTTCTCAATCTACTTTGTTGGATAATGAAAAGTTGATTTTTTAACTCATTTATTTTTTTTCCCCATTGTTTCCATTCTGTACTATTTTTTGTAATTCATACTTCTACACTTTTCTATTAATTGTGAGATTAATTAATATGAGAGTCATTGCCAATGAACAAAAATTAAATCATATATGATTATTTCCATTCATCCTTTCTAGTACTTCTACAAACAGCATATATCAAAATTTCAAAGAAATTAAGCATCATAATCAAAAAGACAAAATTCCATTAAAAGAATTTTTAGATATAATCGTTAAGCCTCCACCATACCGTACGAAACTGCTGAATGAATTATAAATGATTCGTCCCTTTTACTTTTACCAATAGAGATTCTATATCATATTATTGATTATCTTGATATACGTCCTATTTTTCATGAATAATTAACTTCATTAACATTGACTGATAGCCGAAAGACGATGATGGAACTTATATCATTTCTGTCACTAACACCTTTATTGACATATTTGAAAATTATATGTGCACCAGATGCATCTAATGCTATTGCTGATGGATTCCACTGGGAACGCTTCCTCGGTGATAATTTACCTCTCTTACATAAGTTAGAATTCTTCTTTACAAATATATACAATGTTTACTATACCCAGGAGAATGAATCCTAGCCTAGGATCCGGTGGGATCCGATGAGTTCCGATCGGTTCCTATTGGAATCCGACGGAGTTCTTCGGAAGGCGCAAGGAAACTCTCGGATTATCGTCGGATTCCTGGTTCCGGAATCGATATCGGATCCTAATATCGGAACCTAATAAAATCCTACAGTAACCGTCAATCGGAACCGGAATGTTTCGGATTTCATTGGTTCCGACAATCGGATATCATTGGAAATACGACTGTCGGATTCAACATTGATTCCTCAACCAGGAATCCAACGGGATTTCGTCAGATGGTAAGACCCCATAGAATCCGATGGGATTCGGTATCGGATTGATTCACCTGGGTACATCTACAGATGTGGCATTGCTTATCTCTCGATTTCAAACATCATTTTGACTTGAAGAGAAATATTGGTTCGTTGCCAGGTCGATCGAAACAGACCACCGTAAACGGTCGTTTTGCATCGTATTCCGTCGTAAAACGGCCGTTTTAAGCCGAATTAAGGCGTTTTAACAGGGGTAGTATTATGGCCATACACGGGCACCGTATATCAGCCGTAAAACCTAGTAATGCCGGCGTAATATTATCGTATTCTATAGAACATACAGCCGTATTACTGCCCCTGTTATACAGGGAAAATACGGCACGTAAAAAGGGCAGTATTTGTATCGTATACGACCGTTTACTGATCGTTTTCTTCGACCGGGGCTGTATGTGATTACATAGATTATCTCAATCAGATTCTGCTCAATACAAAACCCTTATGTACCAGTGACTTTATTTATGAATATGAAGCAAATAAAATTTCATATTCAAATTCGATGATTGTAGACACGCCTACTGTGATAACAGAGAAAGTGTATGCAATAAACTTAACTTTGACAAAAATAATGGCTGGTGTTGCTGCAATGAAGGCATGTTTAAATTTTTGTAATGGTTTTTGTTCGGATACATGGTCATACGGGCGTATCAGCGCTCGATATATATGTCGTATCGAATTTACACCGGTCGACGGAGTTACAACTTCGTCGTTTAAATGTGACGAAGTTATAACTTCGACAGAGAAATTTGTCGAAGCTATTTTTAATTCACTTATCAATAAATAATTTACCAAAATGAATATTCTGATGCTGAATGTATGATAAAAAATGAAGTTTTTCCTAACAGATACTCATTTATTTAACGATAGACATTATTCATAAATTACGACAAGAAAAATTGAAGTTATCTAACATTAATAGCACAGATTGCGGCAGCAGATGGTTTAAGTAAAGCTATCATTTAGTGAAATGTTGAGTGTAGTTGATGGATGAAAATTAAGTTTTTTATTTATGTTGGCAAACAAGTGAACGATTTATTAATTTAACTGGTACACATATTCATCAATTGGCAATTAAAATAGATTTATCAAATATAATCTTCTTATTAAGACTGTGTTAGATATACATTTAAATTTTTAAGTAATTTTATTGGATTAACCTTTGTATTTTTGGCATCACTTTGAACTTAAAGATATCAACAACATACGTATTTATTACGGAAAATTTTGCAAGTGACTTGATTTTATTTATAAGCTACCTAATCATTATCTTATTACCATACGTAATTTGTTTTCAACGTTTATTCTCATGCTGCATTTTACATAAAACAAGGTCTATTATTTGCAAGAGTTCGATCTATCTCTGAAGTTTTGCTGGAAACCAACTGAAATAGAAATGAAGAAACTTTAAGGTGATAATTCATGTTTTTGTCGTAATTTATGAGTAATCTCTATCATTAAATAAATGAGTATTTGTTAGAAAAAACTTAATTTTTTATCATACACTCAGCATCAGAATATTCATTTTGGTAAATTATTTATTGATAAGTGAATTAAAAATAACTTCGACAAATTTCCCTGTCGAAGTTATAACTTCGATAACTATGAGCGTCGAAGTTATAACTTCGATAACTATGAGCGTCGAAGTTATAACTTCGATAACTATGAGCGTCGAAGTTATCACTTCGTCACATTTATACGACGAAGTTAGAACTTCGTCGACCGGTGTAACTTCGATACGACATATATTTATGATGATTTGTAAAAGAATGTATTGAGTAACACCTACATTTTGTTTTTGGCAATAAAAATGGATTTTGTCCTGTCGAGGTAATTTGAATTGAATAAAAAATTCTTTTTAAAAATGAATTTGTTTTTTCAAACCTATATTTAAAACGTTACGGATTAACTTTAAGAACTTTGATTTAAGTAGGCATAAATTTATGTAATTACTTTACAAACATCAAGTGCTCGTGTTTTCTATTTTTAGACCACAGTACCAGTTCAGTATTTATGTCTAGAGGTGTAAGCCGATGCTCGGATCGGCGGCGGCTGAAAATAGGCGATAGCTATGTATGGCAACGGGGTCGACGGATTAGAAAATTGTTAAAATTTAGTGCCCACCGGCGGCGGTGGCTCAGCCGCTCGGCTTACATCTCTATTTATGCGACATCTAACAAAACTGACAATAGACGTGGGTCAAGAATGGCGAATAGAATATGTTGAATTTCTTTCGAAAATAATCGATCTTTCTCTTATCGATAAAACCACTTTTAATCCTGATTTAGATCTCAAGTTTATTCATAATACATTGAACAACATCTTTATTCTGATGGGATTAGTATATAATCTAAGTACACTCGCAATTTATCCTTATTCTTCTCATGATGGTATTATCAACATAGAAGATATTTCTTCGATTATTCCACGTCATATAAAATATTTAGAAGTAGCCATAAAACACATTCATGGTATGAAAGTAATTCTCGATCATCATGAATATTTGTGGAGTCTAACACTTTTAGCATATTCTGATCAGTCAATACCGTGGTCAGAATTTATAGAAGAATTAGTGTCTAAAAAAACGATTTCATCTATTGGGAATCGTATTATTCTCTACGTATTTGGCTTGGTCAAATATAATGTCAATTTTAACAATATATAAAATGATGTTTTTGCAAATGAGCCTATTTTATCACTTACATTATCTTTTACTTCTAAAATCAGCCTATAGATTAATATGAAGTATATTGATGAGAATTGTATTATAACAAAAAATTTCGTTATTTTTTCAATGTACAAACCGTAATATAATTTACAAAGATTGTGTTGCTGTGCTTTTACTTTGAGATTTATAAGTTTCGAATTCAATAGAAACAAAATACAAGATTAAAATAAAAAGATCAACAGTGCACTTTGTGAACAAATAATATAGGATATAGTTGCTATTGTTAATGACGATAGATTGTTGTATTTGATATATTATATTTCAAGTCATCTTTTGTTCTATTCAATGCTTTCGAAATGTCATTATGAAATAGTTCACGTCTATCATCGTCGTCAGGTCGCATCTGAGATTGTCTCTATTAGATCGAAATTTTGATCTCTATGCTTAAATACTCGTCTCAGATAGTAGTATATGATACGTACACACAATTCATTCAAAAAACAAGATTGTTGATCGAATTGTTTTAGTTCACGAAAAAAATTCTTTTTCAGAATGATTCGTTAGATATTAACGGGAAATTTACAAATGCATTATAAGTTTTCTCATAATTTTATATATATTTACATCAATGAATAAAATACTCTGAAAGTTTTCATTTGATTTATATTAATCTATAATGCAAAGTATCGCTACATAAGTGTAAACGTGCGTTTTTGTTTTTAATCCTAACGTTCAGCTATTTAATCGTTTATTCTTTTCACGACTGTTTAGTTAAAACAAAAATGTTCTTTTCTTCTATGAAGCAACAATTATAAGAACTCTATTCATGCCTGTATGTTTTTTCTTTTCCAGATCTACTTGTAACAAGAAAAGATAGAATAAAAGCAACACAACAATAACAGTTTTATAGAAGAGAAAAACAGTAAGACAAAGAAGATGAAATCATAGACATGAACAACTAGACCAATTGGAAGTGTCAAATTATCAGGCAACAGTTCTTTTTCCTTTTTCTTTCTACTTCTTGTTTTGTTTTATTTATCACTTCCATACAAAAAAAAATGATAAACAAAATTACTGTTGAAGAATACGATCTACCTAAGAACAAAGTAAACCTTTTATATAATGCAGATTGCACGCATCTAATCACCCCAATATCAAAACAAACTTGCAATAGCATACACGCACACACATACACACGGATTATCCTTTGGTCCCACAACCCTTGTCAAATAATGAAACAGAAAGAAAAGCAGAATAATAAAAAGAAACAGATCACACAAACTTAAAAGAGTGCTAAAATCATCCTCAATCTTGGAACCGATCGAATCAAAGGCAGTTCAAGTACTATAGTAACTTCAAAAACAAAGAACTAAGTATAGGAAAAAAAGGATTAAGAAAACAAAAAGAAAACAAACAGATAAATAATCAAAGATAAAATAAAGAAACGGAAACAACGCGAATTTCTTTTTCCTTAAGAAATTCGACGTACATTTGATGATTTCTTTTTCGACTGAGATGTTGCAGTTGTTTCACCTATTAAGAAACATCATCGATATTCATATAAGTTTCATTAGAATTTATTACCTGTGACAACTGCTGATGAATTGACCTGTTCATTAAAATTTAATTTCTAAAAACAAAAAGAGATAAAAACAATAAAGCATTGTTAAATAGAACTTTTACTTCATCGTCTTTTCCATTTTTATGATTATTAATTGAATCATTTTCATCAATATTAATATCTTTTTCAGTTAATGCAGTTTTACTAATATTTTTCGTTGGTACGATACGTTTCACTTGAACCACATATTCTTCATCTTGTTCACGTTCAGGCCATTCACCGATGTCATCAATAGAAAATGTTGGTTGCTTATTTAATGCTTGTTTCCACCAAGTATCATTAGCTGTATAACGATTTTCATTTATTGGCAATAATTGACAAATCTCAATTGGTTCTTGAATTTGTGGTGTTGGCAAAACAGATATATTAGATGTTACTATTGTTTCAACCTCAGATTCATTTTTATTTGTTGCTGATGCTAAAGTATTATTGATTGACGTTGTTCGTTTTTCTTGTTCTTTCTTGCGGTTAGATGATGATGATGGCCGTGGTGATGATTCTTGATTATTAGAATTTGATGTTTCACCTTTTGATTTATTACGATTACGATTGTTAATCTGTTTATTGCCTTGTGTAACCCATTGACCTTCATCTTCATGATCACTATTAGCTGGAACATCGACTGATGTACGTTTATCAACATCAGGTATAACAACTACTGGTTGCTGTTTCTTATTGGTAGTTGTCCTATTCGTAGTATCGCCTTAACATAAATCGTCTACTACTATAGTCTAATCAAATTGTGAATATACCTTTCTTTGTTGTTTGTTGCTTGTTGAGTGCAATCGTTTCAGCAGGTTTTGAAAGTTTCTTTTTGCTCTCACCACTTTGCACTCCATCAGTATTTTCGGCACGTTCAGGTACTTGCTGTTGTTGTTTTGATGATGATGTTTTACTTTGATTAGTAACAACGACCGATTTCTTGTTTTCATTCGCAGTAACTGCTTTTTTATCTGTTAAAGCCTTATTTGATTTTATTGGCTAAACAGAGTATATTAAAAATTTTGTTTGCTGAACCTATAAATCTGATACAATCAATACCTTTTGCTTTTGTAATATAGTATTAACTGTTTCATTGTCACTTTCTTCTGCTTGTGAACTTGATGATGACGATGATGATATTGTAGTAGTTATATTCCTTTTTGCTTTATTGTTATTCTTCTTATTATTAGTTAATGTTGTGTCCGCTTTTTGTTGCTGTTTTTTTATATTAGCTTCTTTGATTTTCTTCTCTTTATTTGTAAGTTGTTTCAAAGAAGAACTTGATTTTGTTGATGAAGAAAAAAGAAGACGACTAGCAATTGAATAAACTAATATAACACCCAAAGTGGCCACTGAAATAATAGACACGAAAGAGATTGACACACTGCTGGTCAATTGTTCAAAAAATGACACGGATGACATCTAAAAGTGAATTTTTTAATCAAGGTATAAAGTTTAACTTGAGCTTTTGTTTTCAAGACATTATGTTATAGTAAATAATATGACGAAGCAGGCTTTTTTTTAATTATCCCGATTCGACAATCATGAAGTCAAATAGCGATCAGCTGCTGAACTAGCTGTCGTCATCATCATTTTATTCTTGAATATTAACGAAATATATTTGTTATTTAGCAGGAAAAAAATATAAAATAGTATCATGAAAATTTGAACGAATTCATATGACAGCACTGTTATAGATGGCGTTAAGTAAGATAAACTATAGAATTATATGTGAATTTGTTTTTCTGATTTGTTTCCATTTCGAAAAAAAACATTTTGGGAGAGAAAAAGTAATTATAATCTGAAACAATAATTTGTTTCCTTTACTTTACATGTATTCAACCGTTTGATTGGTTCTCAAGCAATAAAAATTCTCGTCTGTCTGTCGTTCTTTCTTTCTCTCGCCATCAGCTGAGTAACGGTTTGTGCCTTGAAAAATCGAGGGAAGGATATAATGTTTTAGCAGCCTATTAACTATAAATGTATGACCTCTGTTCGATTTACCATTGGTATGCTCACTTTTACTTGAATAGATATGTTTATTTAAGCTAATAAAAATTTTAAATTGTTCTACTAAGATATTGAGATGTAGATTAAAGAAGAAATGAGCAATGAATATATTCTTTATGTATTAAGAAATGTTCCTTTTGGTAGTATTTCTATTCTGTTCAAACGTACTGTATAATTCAAGAAAAAAATGATATTGACGAAATCATATAGATGTTGCATACTTTAGATATTGAAAGAATAACGGCTGAATGAATGCGGTGGCTGCTCATTCTTCTACTTTTCTTGGCAAACTCATGGCCATATCAACTTTATTTGTTAGGTACGTTTTCATTGAGGGGAAAAGCCTATTCTCTAATGTATCTCTTTTAGTGAATGCTGATAATCTTTCATCGTTTGGTATTAAACGTTACAGTGTTATTCGTGAAATTCACGATGAAACAAAAGCGAATATACATCGACGCAAACGTTCGATTATAGAAAATAATCCTGATCGTATTCTTACGTTAGCATTAGATCATAAGTAAATCTTTTTTTTTTTCTATATTATACAACACGTTTTCTTCCATTGATACTCTTTAGAAATATAACTTTAGTTTTGAAAAATACTAATGACTTTTTTGCTTCTGATGCTGACATTCATCTCGGTTTATCTACTTTCCGTAGCATAAACTCCTCTATTCTTTTTGATGGCTACGTTTTAGGTAAACGCTCATTTCTTATTTAAAACAGAAAATTAATTGAAAATTAAATTAACAGATCATCCTGATACTTCGTATGTGAGTGGTGGATTCTATTCGAATTGGTTTGATGGTACTATTAAAATGTCAAATGAAACTTGGCATATTGAACCAACTCGTAAATATGGTCAAACTTTAGTTAACGCAGGCCCATCGATTATTTACAATGCGCTGGATGTTGATATGACAAAGTATAATAGTAATACTGCATTTCGATCTAAACGAGTTGTAATTGATGAAAATGATGAATCATCGTCCTTTTGTGGTCTTAATAAGAATGAAAATCGAAAGAAAATGAACAAGGAAACTAGACGATCGATACAAGATGACTTTGTAGAGTTGGATTTTAAATCTCGATATACAAGATCAAAAAGACAGACAACAGATAAAAATGAACGAGAACGTACTTGCTGTTACATTTATATACGTGTCGATCCAACATTGTGGGATGTTGTTTATAAAAATGAAGGTCTTAATGTAAGAATTTGTTATTTTATTTATATTTTTCGACAATATTTTGATGAAGAAAAATATATATAAATATTTTTTTTGTCTTTTTGAATAGGAAAAAGAGCCAACTATTCATGCAATTGTTACATTTCTTTATCGAACAGTAACGGCAGCAAATGCGATTTATCGTTCATTAAAATTTGAATCTAATGGTGATGTTCTACATAGATTTACATTAAGAATTAAACGAATACGAGTATGTGATTCTTTTTAGAAACGTTACATCATATGAAAGAAAGAATAATATTTGAGTTTAATTCAGTTCGGTGATAAACTTGATCGTTGCTTTCATAATTGTAATACTTGATCAAAATATTGTCTTATCACAAATCAGTCAAGTTTTTTGACTATTTTAGTATTTTAACTGTACAAATATATAATTTTTGAAGAAAGTCTATATGAATTATTGAATATTAGTCCGAAAGCTGTATGCTAAAGAAACAACTTCGCAAACTTAACATTAAACGACATGTATTTTTAGAAACTTTGTAAAAGATAAATATAGATTTACGTAAAGGGGATTTGATTACACATACGGAATAAAAATTTCCAAGGAAGCAATGATCCGTAACATTCAACCAGACAGAGAATTTGAGAACATTTTCAGTAAGCCATGGTGTCTCTTATGAATGCTCGAGGATTGCCTTACTGTCTCTTAGATTTTAACTAGAATCATTATCAAAATATCAGTAGCAGGAGAAAAATTCTACTCTTAACTTAATAAGAGTCCTGATTATTCTATTTGAAAATTTCAAATTAAGTTCAGGATATTTTATAAATTTTTAATTTAGATTTTAACACCAGATGATTGTGGACACAAAAATTTAAGTTTAAGCGAAACAAATATTTGTCGTTCATTTCTCGATTCGAATGTTTTGTTAACATGGCATTCAGCTGAAGATTTTTCTGATTATTGTCTAGCATATATATTTGCTGCACGAGACTTTGGTGATGGAACATTAGGTTTAGCGTGGATGGGAAGTGTTGCATCAAGTATGTTCTATATTTATAAATAATTAATAAAACTTCATTTCGACTTTGTTTTCTAGATAGTCGTGGTGGTATTTGCGAAAAATCATCAAAAGATATGTACGAAGGGCAACGTGTTACAAAAACACTGAATACAGGAATGATTACTGTTATCAATCATAACACACGTACGTCATCGTTGATGACAGAATTAACATTTGCTCATGAAGTCGGACATAATCTAGGCGCCGAAGTTCGTATATTATATCAGATGGAGACGTTTGCTGTTGTATAAAGATTATGTTTTTCTGTTTAGCATGATGATGAAAAGTGTGGTGGTGATACAACATATGGTCATTATATAATGTATCGTCGAGCAACAACGGGTCTTGAAGAAAATAATAATAAATTTTCAAATTGTAGCATGGGCAAAATGGGACCAGTTGTTATTTCTGTTAAAAATGAACTGGTCGGAAAAGTTAATTGTCTAACTGGTATACTTGACTATTGTATCGATAAAGTCGTAAATTTTATTTTTACTTCAATAGAATGTTCACAGGTGGGCTATTGTGGAAATCGAAATGTTGAAGATAATGAAGAATGTGATTGTGGTTTTATATCTGAATGTACAGACGATTGTTGTTATCCAGCTGGTGGTCCTGATGCCAAACTAGGTTGTAAATTAAAACCAGGCGCTCGTTGCAGGTAAATGTTCATAAAAATTCTGTTCGTATATCTATTTTAATATTTAAATTTAGTCCATCGAAAGGTCCATGTTGTTCTGATCAATGTACTTTTCATGCACCCTCACATATATGCCATAAAGACAAGGCCAGTCAAGATTGCATTGGAGATGTTCGATGCGAGTAAGTTGAATTCAAATATGAAAAAAAGAATCTAATGATAAATTCAATACGAATATCTTTTTAATACGTATTATAGATTATTTAAATATTTTTTAAAAGATATATTATATTCTTTAAAATTTTACATTACGCGATTCGATTTCTAAAAAGCATCCAATATAATCATAGAAAATATGTAAATTTTGATGACGATTATTCTGAGCCTGGGAAACAGCATACGATCTCATTGATTCGTGCCATCGTTGTATAGACTTTTTCATGAAGTAAAAGAACAATACATATCTATTTGTGATAAAGATTTTTAAAACATACTGCAACAATATTTAAAACAAAAACAAAAAATTTATAAATTACATAAACTAATCATAGTTTATTCATATTGTTTTGTTACTATGAGACTTCAGAGACATTCTGCATAATCCCACTGATTATTCTTTCATTTCTAGTGGTATTCAAGCAACATGTCCTCTGAATGATACACAATTCTTTAAACCAATTGATGCATTATGTAATCAAAACACACAATTATGTGACCGAGGGGTATGTATTATAGAAGCTTTCTTTTTTCGTATACTAAAGAAGCTTATTGTTTTAAGGAGTGTAATAAAAGTATATGTACATTAATTAATAAAACAGAATGTGTTTTAACAATACCAAATGTTGAAGATCCATTACGGCAACGAGATGTTGATCGAGAATATCTATGTCATATCGGATGTTTTGATAGTAAGAATGAGAAAATTTTAAGACAAATAGATGATACAAAAATTTTCTTTTTATTCAAAGCTCGAACAAATTCATGTATTGATACACTTGCTCTTCGTATGCCGAATAATCATAGTATGACTGGATTTGGTTATAAACATCGACCTGGTTTGTAATCTCAATTTTCAGTTTCTTTTTTAATTATATTAATCTTAAATTCAAAAGGACACGCTTGTGCTGGAACAGCTGGTTATTGTGATGTATTTGGGAAATGTCGTGCTGTTGATGCAGAAGGTCCATTGACTCGATTGAAAAATATGCTACTTAATGCAGAGAATATTCGTACAATCACTCAACTTATTCAGGTTAATTTTGTTTTGTTTTATTTTCGACGTGTCAAAGCAACAATTTTGTTCTTTTAGGAATATTGGTGGGCTTTTGTATTGGGTTTATTAAGTCTCATTGGTTTCATGAGTATTTTTGTAAAAATTTGTTCTGTTCATACTCCATCATCAAATCCACGTTTGAAACCAGCTCGAACTCTTTCGCTGAAGCGTGGTGTATGTGAATCGTTTTTAGAAAGAAAAGATAAATTCAATTGCTCTGTTTTAGTGTCATGGTCCTCGGCCACATGCTATGCATAATAATCGACAGCCTGCTTCTTCATCAGCAACTTCTGGGAGTGAGCTCACTTCTCTACAACAACAATCCAAAGGACAACCTAAAGTTTTTGTACGTGGATCTAACTCAACAGATAAGCAACAGATACGTATACAGCAGAATAAAATAAAATCCTCTCATCTTTAGTCTTTATACATTTATTTGTTTTTTTTTGTTAGAACAGTACTTTTTTTTCTTTTCATTAAGAAGCTTATATTTCACGTTTCTATATATGTATATCTTTTCATTTCTCTCTATCAAGCAACAAGTCAGACATGAAAATCTTTCTTGATTAACATATGGCACAGATCAGATTTAAACTGTCTCAGCGAAATTCTCTTGCTCTTTTCTTCTCATAATTAGTCTAATGTTCCATTCGTTCCTTATAGTCTGTTGTTAGTCTTTTACGTGTATATTTATATAGCTATGTTCGTATTTATATATACATTCAATCACTTTCAAAGTGATACTTTATGATGCAGAAGGAAAAAAAGTTATATATATTTAGATGGAGGCCTTTTTTTCTTTTTATTATGTACTTATGCGGAAACGAGATCCTGCTCGTTCGCTTTTTTTTGTTATGTTATTATGTTCACACTTTCTAATAGTTTCTTGAAATACAATTTAAATATATATATATATATATATATATATATTTGTTTGTCTATGAATGAATTCGTTGTGCCTTCTAGATATTTTCTCGAAAACAGAAACTTCGTGTTTTAATATCATTTTTATTATAATCAAATTCATTTAATTAAGCATGAGGGCTAAAGTAAGATTTTATTTTATATATAATCATTATGAAGTCTGAACTTTTTCTCTCTTAACTCGTTTAGTGGCGTAAGAAACGAATGCGACGACTCAAACGTAAACGAAGACGTATGCGGGAACGATCGAAATAAAATAATAGTGAAGATACTAACAACAAGAACGACAGTTTATTTCATCGTTGTTTTTATTATCAATTTAAAAAAGAAAATAAGACAATATGGAATAACTTCATGCTAAAAACAAAACACATTCAATTTTTTTGCGATAGGACCGCTGGTTTCTTGAGCTGTTTCCTTTCAATAATGAAAGTTTAAACGATCTTTAATGATCGTATTCAATTGACTATTCGATTACATATATTGTGTATCTTTGTCTTTGGCATTTTCATTTAGTAATTCCATCATATCAATTGTATAGCTAATGATTCTACACGGTATTGTTCATACAAGTTTTTAAAGAAAAAATCTGAACCAAATCGAGTCGATATCTTTGTTTACGATTTTATCTGTGTACTTGACGTAGTAGATCGATCGATGTATCGCGGAGTCTACATAGTTTCAATCAGTTGAATTGTCGTTTCATCAATTACTTGTTCACTGAAAAGCAAGTTTTTTGGTTATTGCTATGCATGATATAGTGTCAATTGAACGACAGAAAAAAAACGAAACAACATATAAATTACAACAGATGAGAAGAGTGGCTGAATTTCATGATGTTTACAACTTTTTGCTGTAACTTTTTCAAATCAAACACTTAAAGAATCGTGTTTTTGTTCTTATTATTTAAAAATTCATATTTGATCGATTATTTTTGAAATGTTGAACATGCAACATGGTCATATTTTTAAACTGCATCAAAGATAGTATGACAGCTTCTTTTGTTCGTAAAAAGAAAGTTTATCTATGATAAATCAAAAACTAACGCTGAACATAGATGAAATACGTTTTGCCATTCTCTTTATATAACGTATATGAAAATGTTGCAAATTCTTCACACGTCATTTACTATAATTATGTGACCTAATTACCATTATTTACCAAGAAATCATTCGAAGAGGAAAATCACACTTAGCTTTCTCTCAGTCGTATTCTAGATCGATTTTATTACATAATTAAGTATATCTTGTGAAAAGAGTCAGCATTGTGTTAGATTCTTATGTTGCTTGTTTAACTACAGCTTTATGAGCAGTATCGAAATTGTTATTCGTCGATTGTTGTTTTAAATAGGCTACTTCATAAAATACAAAAGATTGACCGTGAATTCGCTTATGCCAGCAAATAGCTTCAATTCATCTTCTCTAAGTATGATAAGAGCAAGTGATGATTTCTCTTGAATTAATATCAACGTATGATTCTTTTGTATTGTTGAACCAAAATGTAGCTCCATGCTTACTTCGCAATCATATTTCATACCTAAGCGTACTAAACATCAGTTTTCATACTATTACGTTTCTTATTAAACCTATTAAATGTCTAGTTAAATAAACCAATATGATACGAAAGGTTCTTCTACAGACAACTTAATTGTGCATAAACTTGCTATTTTTTTAAAATATCAATTGTTGCATTGATCTGTTTTGATTAATCGTTTTATTTAGACTATGAACCATATCTATAGTTTATTATATTGTTCTTTAAGAAGGCATACGACAAACAATTAAAAAGAAAAAGATTCGGTTGTGATTAAGATTGCTCTTGTTGTTTTTGGGAATCTGAAACAAAACAAAGAAAGTTTATAATAAAATTTATCTCATTGAAACTAATTGAAAACACACTTTGGTTAGCCATCGAACTCGAATCGACACCACTATTGTCTGAATCTAAAATGGAATATTAATTAAAACAATTTTCAATTTTTGCTGTAGTTAAAAATTCTGAAAACAAAATTACAATAATAAACATTAAAAATGAAATGTAACATAGCGAATTGACTATACCCCAGCTAAAATACACCATCATATACGTGATGTAAAGAATAACGTCTTGGTACTTCAGAGTGAGATTTAAAGGGAGTAAAGGCCTAACTTGAAAAGATGATTAACAAAATAAGTTACAAGTTACTGATGAACTTGTTTTTTTCAGCAAGCTAAAACTCCGTTTTCGTTGTATTTTTTGCAGATAATTTTTCCTTCGGGACACATTTACGCACTTTTACAGAAAATTAAAAACTGGAAGACAAATTTTTTATGATATAAATATGATGAAACATAGAGATGAATGTTTGATTGTCCTGTCACAAAGTTTTAGAATTCTTATTCTTAATAGGAAACATTATCAAAACTTGATTCATGTACTGATAGGTGTATAAGAAAAAGGCAGAAGATTCTTCGTCGATCTCTAATAACTGAAAACCATCGATTCAATACGTCAAACATCAAAGCTAGTCTTAATGGTATGAAATGGAACCATTTTTTATCGAGTAAAAATTGCTTCCGAAATAGTTATTCATAGATTTATGTATAGATGATTGAATTCTGTTTTTTTTCTATACGAGTATTATATTCGACATTGATAAACTTGAGAGCGCTTCATCCTTAAGTGCAAGTCCTAGAAGATTTCTCATTCTTTCTTTATTCAAATATTAGATAGAGGAATAATGAACCAAAAAATTAATTATCTACATTACACAGATATACAACATCTGCGTGACAAGGACTTCTTTCTACGGTACAAAGATGAAAATAATAGAAAATATTGTGCTCATCATTCGTATTTATGGTGTTTCAACTATGAGATTTTTAGCATATTTTTTTAATTTCAAACTTCATCATTTAAGAAAGAAACAGCTTACTTGGCCGCTGATTGACAGGTGAACTGGCATTCGTTGGAGTTACTGGACCTCCTGATTTTCTTGTCAGAAGACTATTAAAAAAGTTAGCTAAGGCTCCTTCATTAGCTGTCGCACTTGTACCGCCCGATGAAGTACTCTTAAAATAAACAAATTCTATCGTTATTAGTTAAAATTAAACATAAATTAGCTATACCGGTTGGTTTCGCGACCGACCAGGCATCGATGGTGTTTGGGAAATGATGCCACTGTTTGCACCTGTTGTCATTACATTACGTGGCATTACTGGTGTAGCATTTTCATCCTAAAAATTATTATTAATATTAATATAACGAAACTCTTTTCATATTGGTAAACACTCACAGTTCTTCCAGGTGATGCAGCACGATTCAGTGTTAACTGAAGACGAGATAAAAACTCTTGATCATCTTCAGCTGCGATAATTTCATTATCACGTTGTAATGGCTAATGACATGAGAAAGAAAAACTGATAATAAATTTTAACTAGTGTATTGAAAAACAAAATACCCGACGAACAACAGGTTTAACAAATACATCTGAATAATTATCGGTTGGTTTCAGACGATGAAGATTTTCCAATAAAATATCGACTTTCTTTGGATTATCCCAACCAGATGGAATAAAAATAGCATCACGCTCAACAATAGCAGCAGGTGATATAAATGGATAACCATAACATTTATGTAAAATATATTTGTATAATTTATCCATATTTTTTTTCTCTTTTACAGACGTATAAAACAATGCAGCACCATCTAAATAAATTTAATCAATTGATTGATAAAATTATTAAAAATAATAGTCATACATTCTAAACAAAATTTTCTTAGATGATATTGCATAAAATCAAACTGTTCGTCTTTATAATCGTTTTCTTTTTCGAGAGTTGCCATTGCATCACACTAAATATAGACAATGAAAATAAATAAATAAATAGAAATAATGTATAAAAACGAAATATACTTTTGTAATAACAACAACAATAGGAATTCCGAGTGATCTTGTCAATACGCCATCTGGAAGTGGTAAAACAATTTGTTCTTCACTATTATTCATATTTGCAGGTGTTGTTCCCGATGCTAATGAAACTGATGAGACTGAACTAGGAATTCGACCACCAGTTATTCCACTTTTTATAGTTGCTGATGATGAAGATGATGTTATCATTATTGATGTATCATTTGGCTCTGTGTAATGTTGAAAATCGTGCTGAAGCCGATCACGTATTTCATGTAAACGTGTTGGATCTAATTTAAGTCGATCAATATGCTCCTCAGTAAGTGTTATCCATTTTTTTAATGTTGATAATAAAGACCATGGTTGCGTCATACTGGCAACAAGAATAATAACTGTATCTTCGAATGTATCTGATTTTATTGCAAATTTAAGTAAAGGTGATGAACATGTTACATCTCCATCAAGTATCCATACGCCCAATTTTGGAGTGTCTAGTAATTGAAAGAATAAAAAAAAATAATAATAAAGACAATATATTAATCTAATACCATCTCGGTCGTCATCTCTAACATCAATATAATGATATTCTAAGCCAGCACCCCGCTTAGGATCATCATTTCCTTGTAGTTTAGCCACTAATGTTGTACGACCACTTTCATTATCGCCAAGAACAACGAGCGATTTTGTTGCAGGTGCTTTTTTTGTTGACGATTTGACATCACGTAATATTGATGCCCTATTGAATCAACAGTTCAAGTGAATAGAAAATGTTGCATAGATATATGTATCAATTTACATACCAAACGCCTTGTTTTTCATCAGTATTATCTAGAGATGGAAGAGATTCATCGACGATAGTTTGCTTCGTCATAATATCAATGCTGTTTCTGTAAGAAACCGAAAAATAGGAAGAAAAGAAAATTTTTTTGTCAAAAACATCAGTCGCTACATTTAATCAAAACTACCAAAAATAGGTAAATTAAACAAAAATCTGTCGCATCGATCTCCTTATTTTTCACTTACAGATATATAACAATTGACAATGATCGTTGATAGATGGACAAATATGAAAAGTAAGCACAGTTGCAACTATGATTAATGGTCAAAACAAATTTACCAATAGAAATATCAAATCAAACCTCTTTGATAATGTTAGATAAACGATTAACTCATACTCATAATATGAAAAATGATTATTGAAAGGTACTATTATTAATAGAAAAAGTGATATTTATTAAACAGATATTGTGCTTCGAACAATGAATTAAGATTTGATTCATTCTTTGAGAGATTATCAATTATACTCTATCTACCAATCAAATAGTAAGAATAAAGTGGAAGAATTTATTGAAGAATACAAGATCCAATGAAATACTAGTGCAAATGAATTGAATTTCTATTCTATATATATAGTGATATACAAAGATTCGACCTTACATATTATTACCATTTACTTTTCATATATCAAACAACTTTTATTTCGACGTGAGCCAACGTGAATAGCTCTCAAATGTTCCGATTTCTTGGTTCATGCAGTCGAACGGTGTCGTTGTCCTATTCATCCACAACAACTGTATTTTTAAGATCGATACGTCCTCTTTCTAATCAGCACAAAACATCCCAGGCTCAATCATCTAATCCTAAAGTGAGAAAATTTCACATACAAATGTATTTAATTAATTCTATTTTAGTCAGTATCTCATCAAGCTCCATCAATGGGAACACGTAAACTCGATGTAAAAAAATTATTTTCTGATGATGAAACTGAGAAAATTCCGATTCCAATAAGTCCTCGTCGACCAAATATTCTTCATTCTTCTTCATTCGATGATCCATCAAGGTTAGCATCAAATTTATCAACAAAAACTCGATACGAAAATGATATTTCTAATATTAATGATTATGAAGCCGAAGAACAACGGCGGCAATTAGCACGAAAAACTGAGGCAAAAACATCCAATTCTAAGATGCAATCGAAAAGGGAAACATCTCGAAAAACAGCAACAAATAAAATTAACGTTGAAACAGTATTCGATAGTTCACAATATATTTCCACGGAAAAAGTGCCTGGACAAAAGAAAATTATAACAGATAGTTCTGAAAAATCCAATGTACACAAACCGAAACAACCAAAAAGAGAACGATCATTAACAAAACAATCAGATGAAGTAAAATTATTTTCAACATAAAATGAATAGTCGCATATATTTTCTGATTCTTTTTTATTTGTTTTTGAGGGTATGTCGAGAATATTAGACAACTACCTTGAGACTTCTACTTGATCTATAGCTCTGTATGAATAATGATAAAATCTTTACTTGATAAGTATGCAACATCTATGGCATAGCCTATGAAATTAATGAGAACAAAAAAAATGATGGTAGCTCTAACTAGACCTGTGACAATTCATGAACGGAGAACTGAAACTGAAATTAACCATTCAATTTAAGAAAAAAAGAACCAGCTCAGCAAACTGCGAATCCTCATAGGCATACGTATAACTATAATTGGAGCTACGAAAGGGAAAAGGTGTATGCTCTAATCTTCTATTCACAACACATCATAAATATACTTCCATCTGCTTCTCTGTTTTTGTTAAGGTGTCTTTTTTTTTTTACTTCAGATGATCTTATAACATGAAAAAATTCTGATGCATACTGTAGAGTTTTTAATTTTAAGTGTAAAAAGATGATTAGCTTTAGGGCGTAAACGTTATCATCGACAACAAGAGTAACTAAACCTACTAGTATTGAATATGCCTTCATCATCACACAGTTAGCTTTTAATAGAAAAAAGTGTAACTTTGAAGATTAATGAGAAAAACAAAATATCAGAAATCCTAAAAGAAAAATACCAATGAAGCGTATTTTAACCACTGACAAGTGAATCATTGCTTTGTTTATTTTAATTTTTTAATTTTTTAGTCTGCTACTCGAGAAGAATCTGATGATCAAGCACCTGATCAAATGCTTTCAGCAAATATTAGAGAAGCAAATACTGTCGAAGATTTGATGACTATTTTTGATAAATATGTTATATCGACAGAATTTGCATTAGGTTTACAGAAAATGTGTCAATTAGCATCAATTGAAAATAGCGACGCTACTCAAACTTATGCACAATCTGGTAATGCACGAAATCGTATGGAATCCCTTTTAATTACTTTTGTGAGTCATTCAAGAAAAATAAATTAACAAACATATCATGAAAGATGAATTTTTGTTTTTAGTTGAGCAAATTCAGTGATCATGAAGTATTAACAGCTATAGCATTTGTTACAAAATATTATCCTGAAGATAACGAATTTACTGATAGATTTTCTCTCGCACTTGCCAATCGGTTAAGACGTATCAGTGTTCATCAAGTAATTATTTTGTTTTCTTAGTTTTCAAAATTAAAATTTTCATTCTTTAAGATTGTTCGTATATTAGAAGAATTAAAATCTTCGCGTCATACAGCACAATGGATTCATCGTATTTACAATCGCCTTTTAGCTTTAGCTGAAGGTCGCTATTTTGAATTCGATAATATACGCGATATAATAGCATTAACACATAAATTATCGTACAACGATCGTTTAATAAATCGTTTGGATGAAAGAATTTTAGAAATAAGTGATACTCTTGTATTTGATGATTGGTTTAAAATATTAGTTAATAAATCAATGTTAAAACGACGTGATAGAACTGTTATACGTGCTGCTTGTTATCATTTGCTTAAATTAAGTGAATCGTTTTTATTTCCATTAGAGAAATTGAAAGATTGTCTTTTGGCATGTTCCATGTTAAATGTATATGATAAATCATTTCTAGAACGATTAATTCGAGATGCATTTGAACAAATTAATAATATTAATGATCCATTTGTAGTAAGTATATATATTCTTTTTATTATTAAACATTATATCACTAGTTCGAACGTAATAGTATGACACTACAGATTTTTTCATTCATATGTAATATGTTTAATTTGTAAAATGAACTGAATAACTAAAGTTCAAGATCAGTGTTGTGATGGTCTAGTCAACTGTCTAGTAGATTCTAGGATTTTATTTTATTAATGATTTTACACTACATATTGATACCTATCTCATCATTCATTACAATAATAGAAATAGAAATGTTAACTAAATCAAGACTAGAAGATTTTAGCGTGTTCATCATGTCTATTTTAGTATACCAGAAGGTATGTGTCAGCAACTGAATATGTTCTGTTATAACAAGAAACTATTTCAAACTTGTAATGATTGAAAGAAAATAGTTTCAAGTTAAAAGTTGATGATACTTTTACTAACGAAGACGCATACTAATATTAAATGTTCAAACAGCTTTGATTTCATCTCTTAACTATAAATAGACTTCAATGAAATTGACTCTATTCGACGTTTTTGTCTCGATTTATAAATTTTTCAAATAATATTTCATCTTTTGTTTTGCGTCCAGACGATCTATTATATTATTAGTAATGGAAAGAAAAACAGTATACTTATCTTTAAAATTTATTATTTTAAAAATGAAAACAATTAAATTAACTTGAAACTTGAAGAGAATTGGACTAATTTGATCATTCACCGATGAATCTATTAGTTTCAATATACTTGATAGTAGATTTAAAACTTGGAAAAGTCATATTTTAAAATAGCACTATTTGCGAAATCAAATTCCTTCAACTTTACCATACTCCGGCTAGATTTACTGGTGGTGTAAAGATTAAATTTAATTAATTAAATGCTTCAGATTTTCTCTCAAATGAAAACTATTTTTATTTTGTGTGCGATTAATAAAAAAGAATTGTTTGTTGATATGCATGAATTTCAAGGGATCCAAAATATTTTGAACACAAAAATAATCGTAGTAATCTCGCATTAAAATAAAAAATTCATAATGTTATAAGTAAGATAAAACAACTAACTGCGATTCAACATTCATAACAGAAGTAATTAATGCTTCTTCTCTTCATGAAAAGAAAATACTTAGTAAATGATAGTTTCCAGTGGCTTTCTTAAAATTAACAAATAAACTATGTTGAAATAAGCAATAATATCAGTTGATTTGAAACCAGCTCGGTTGGTCTTTTGTGAGAAGAAATCTCATAATAGATTTGAAATTCTTCTATCTAATAAATAGAAAGTCACTCAATGTATTATAATGAAATCAACTTTATTTTCTAGTTTCAATCAATTGTAACTTCTATGGGAACACTTCGTTTACGCCATTGCGAATTACTTGATGCATTTGGAAGATTACTTTTAGAAGAATCTAATGTATTTTCATCATCAAAAAATAAATGTGTACAAACGTTTATACGTACATGTGCTTCTGTTAATTATTCTCCGCCTTTATTATCGAAAATAATTGAAAATCATTTAAAACTTGACCAAAATATTCATGAAGATAATCAATTAAATGAAATAAAAAGTCGTATTGATCTTGTTTGGTCACTTGCTATCTTAGATCAAGCAAATCAAAATCATTTATCTACTGTTCTTAATCAAGATATATTTCAAGTTGTACAAAGTAATAAATATCAAATTAGAAACTAGTGTTTTGTTTTTAATAATTAATTTTTTGAAAACATTTTAAGATGAAATATCAAATTCAAAAATAGCAAGTGCTCTCAAATTGCTTACAACTTATTCATATAGTTTACAAAAAATTTCAAAAAAATTTCCTAAACCAACATTTAATATTGAACAACTTGCACAACAATTGACATTAAAAGATTCGAATGCACAAGATCAATTAGCTAAAACAGTTGTAGCGTTTGCTGCTGAAAATAAACATGCGAAATTTAATGTTGTTACATCGAATATGATTGTCATTGGTACGATTTTCTCAAAGCTATTTATTATTTCATTGTAAAATATTTTCATTTCTAGATTGCTTAATGGTAGTTGATAAAGCAGGAGCACCACAAGATTTAAATACTGTTTTAACGAATGGAGATAACAACGGTAGTAATGGACAAACTACATTTAATAAAATTCGTATGGATGAAAATAATTTTAAGTAAATTAATGCATAATTAGGTAGAGAGATAAAATATAAGAAACCATTGATATTTTTATTAATAGAATTGCACTCAAATGTCTTGATTATCAAGATAAAACACTTTTAACAAAATCTGTTTCGGGTTCTGTAGCATTACAATTAAGATTATTGAATTCACTTGGATATAAATGTGTACCAGTATGTTTCTAATTCTTCTTCATTGATAAAAATAAATGATTTTTTCTTTTTCATAGATTGATTATGATGAATTTATCAAAATTCAAGCACAAAATGATAGAAGCAAATACATTCAACGAAAAATCAAGGAAGCTATTGGTTCATCATCTAATTCAGATCATCAAACTAACATATTTACAAATAACAAAACTACTGAAAATAATATATGATCAGTTGAAGAACTTTCTATGTACAGTGATCTGTTTCTAGCAGACACGTGTCTTCCCATCGTTTGTTTTTGTCCCTTTTTCATTTGTTGACCACTGTTTGGTTGGTATTACACTAGGAAATAAAATATAGCGAAAAAAATCAAGTAAATCTTATAATCATTTAAAGACGATTTAGTTATTTTTATTTGATTTTGGTTTTACTTAAATTAAATGAATAATAAATACACGCAGAAAAATTATACAATCAATAAATAATAATCTCATTCAGATGCACGAGCAGAAAAAAAAGTATGAAAAGAAAAAAAGCGAACGTGTTTACATATCAAAAGAAATGAACTAAAGAAAAAGTAAATTATCAATCTTCATCGTCATCGTCGGCTGTTGTATCCATAGCAGTTGTGGTAGCTAAAGCACTTGAACTAGTTACTGTGTTACCATTGCCTGTCATGTCATCATCCTACAGACAAAGAAAAACACATTTGCAAATAAATTTTTCTTTTACTAGTTATTTACTCACCTCATCGGATTCGTCGTCGTCATCATCATCATCATCATCTTCTTCTTCTTCTTCTTCTTCTTCTTCTTCTTCTTCTTCTTCTTCTTCTTCTTCTTCTTCTTCTTCTTCTTCTTCTTTTTCATCTTCTTTCTCGTCACGGTTATTCTTTTGCTGCTGTTGTTGTGATGGCTTTTGTGGTGGAGTCGGTTTTGGTTTATTTGATTTCTTTTGAGATATTGAAGGTGCAAGACTTTTCTTAACAGGAGGCATACTTTTCTTTTTCATATTATTACTAGTCATCGGTGCTGCTGATTGTATCATCATAGCTGGATGATTTTGTGCACCTCGTTGCGATTCCATATTACCAGTATTTTCTTCATTGCCTTTTGTTTTTCTTGGTAAAAGCTCCGTACGAATATTAGGTAAAACGCCACCTTGTGCTATATTGACAAGAGAAAAGGAACTGATAGATAAAAAGAAGTTATTTTCTTTAAATAGACTTTACCAATAGTTACACCGTCGAGTAGTCTATTTAATTCTTCATCGTTTCGAATTGCTAATTGAAGATGTCGAGGTATAATACGTTTTTTTTCATTATCTCGAGCGGCATTTCCAGCTAGAAATAATTTTATTCAAGTGCTTAAAAATATGTATTCAATCAAATGATAAAAACAACGCACCTAATTCAAGTATTTCAGCAGTTAAATATTCGAGAACAGCAGCTATAGAATGAAAAGACTTAAATGACAAAAACAACTAACAAAATCATTGTTACCTAAGTATACTGGTGCTCCTTCACCAATACGTTCTCCATAAGAACCTTGTTTAAGATAACGATGCTAACCAAGAACTGTTTTAGATGGATGAAAAATAAAGTAGAAAACTTACCACTCGACCAACAGGAAATGTCAGACCAGCACGACTACTACGAGTTGTTTGTTTGTCTTTAGTTTTGCTTTTATTTGAAGACATTGTTGTGTTAACTCGTCCGGTCATTCTTTTACTTTTTATTTAGCTTACCAATAGATGAAATAAATAAAAAAGTTCAAAATAAATATTTAGATCGTAGTAGCGTTCACTCTGACGACGATTTAGCTCGAATGATATTATAGTTCATAGACGACTAAGACGGCTAAGTTGGAAAAAGAAAAGAAGAATAAAATGTCACATGCGTATACCGCGATATCTGTTTCATCCTTTTTGTTTTTATCCTGGATAGCAACGATGAAAGAATTAGATCGTCTATGTAGAGAATTTCGAGAAGGATTAATTATTTAGATGTGTTTGATAATCAAATAGATATAATTGAAAATCAAGACATTACAGCGGGTAGTAATAAAAAAACTTTGTTTATTAATTTTCGTTTAATTTATTGTGAATGAATGAACCATGGGACATATAATTCGACAGTTTTTTCTACAAAGAATTACAAAGAATATTTAGCTATATCCATTGAACCTGATATTTCATTATCAAACGATCAAGAAATTCATTTAGATCGATGTCTTGCCTATCTATATAATATATGTCATATACCCATAGTTTTAAATTGTACACTTTTATCAATATCATCATTTTCAAATGCAACAAATGTCAATCGTGATTCAATGCGTATAAATCATTATTTACGTGTTCGTCAACCACGTAAGTTCTATTGGATGCGCAATATAAAACAAATATACGTAACTATACGTTTACCAACAAATAAAAATGAACAGATAACAGCTAACCTTATTGAGTTTCATTCATGTAGACGTTTAGCTTCTGCAGCTCGTACTATAATTCCACAAATAAAACCAATTATATTAATTTATTATGTTGAAGAACGTTCATTGAAATTAAATATTCGTGGAGATAATTGTTTACTTCAATTAGAATTTTCTTCAGAGATAAATCATAATGAACAGTTACAAAAAGGTATTTATTACAAATGGTCCGATGAAGGACATATTCGTTCAACAACAATTCAATTTGATATTGATTATCAATTAGAAAGAAATCTTTTCCTTATCTAACACAATCGATTTATTAAATCAATGTTTATTTTCTATTAGTGAAAAAAAAACAGATGAGTAAATAATAATAAGAAGAAATAACAAATAGATAGTTAAATGGATTACGAAAGAAACGAAAAGAAAAGGCACATAGAATAAAAAGAATTTTTTTTTGAATCTCCTTCGATGTAAATTCTCATGAATCGTCTTTAATTTTTTAATTATAATGTACCAATATTTAATAAACTTTTATCCATAAAACGGCGACGAACGAAGCAAAGCCACCACTAGAATTTTCAAAAAATGTAAAATAAATGTATATTTTTTCAATAAAAAGTATATTCTTTTGTTGTTACTTTTGATGGTTTATCTGTTTCGGGATCAATAACTCGATCAACCATACGATCACTACATTCTTTACGTAACTGTTCAAGATATTGTTTCATTTTATCTAAAAGAAAATTTTCTAATTTTATTTTCTAAAATAATAGGCAAGAAAAACTAACCAGTTTCACCAGATGCTGGTTGCGTAAACATTCCATTAAGCGGAAAATCTGGTTCACCTGGAATCGGAAATGTTGATATAGCCAATGATGATAATTCTTTTTGTGCTTGAGTACGTGATTGACACTAGAATGAATTTATTTGTTTGATTGAAAATTTAAAAAAAAAGAAATAAGAAGTTTTCTATTTACCTTCTGAAGACGTCTTAAACATTCTGTTATATACAACGTCAAATAAATTAATGTTCGGTCACCATCATGCTTTATTAAATCAAAATATTTTAATTATTCAATCAGATAATATATATTTGACTCACTTTAATATCATAATTACGAAAGAAAATATTTGCTCGAAAAAATTTAATTGCTTCATCGATAATATCTTCGGTTTCAGTGGCTAAATGAAAAAAAATATTAAACTAATTTACAAAATATATATTTGTTTAATTTTAAACCAAGGGGAGTAAGCATAAAACTTTTGTGAGTGTTAAAATTTATATTTTCAATTGATGATACGAGTCTTTAAGTTGAAGCATAGCATTAGGATCAAAACAACATGAATCTTGAAGATTTGAATGAATTATGTACACACCGAAAAAGAAACTTGTATCCTCACTTATTACTGTCGAGAAGCTAAAATGTTATGATAGTTTGTAAATACCTTATGCTCTTCATGAAAAATGGAGTAATTACTATTCAAATGCTGATTTCAAAGTTTGTATGGTGACAGAAATGAATAAGAATAGTTTTTCAGATCTTGGTGAGAGTTGTTTTTTTTTTCAAGATAAAACTACATCAATACATATCACCTATGTTTTTCATAGAAAATAAAACATTTTATATTCGTATTTTGAAAATAGAAGAAAACAGAAGAACTGAAATTTCCACTGTAAAATATATAAAGAAAATTTTCTGTATCCGAAATCCACAGCAAACATTGAAAAATTAGTTTCTCTATTTTTTCTGAAGGATAGAAAGGCATATATTTCAGATTTAAGTAATACCGTAAGAATGCAGTGTTTTTTGTTTTAAGTGGTAAGTGTAAAATACAAGTTTTTCTCAGGTACTCTGTGCCAATGGGATCTAGAAATCGCATATGAATTGAACTTAAAAGTGATTTATCAGTTGATAAAGTTTCCTTGTGAATCTGAATCTGAATCATGTTAGCTTTTGATACAACATTTTATATTATCACAAAAAAACGATTTTGTCTGCTATTTTAGGATTACGCTTGCCATAATGCATAGTCATCGCTGATTACAGAAAAATATAACACAAAATTCTTTATTTGTCCTATTGTCTTTTATGTGTTTACCTGACCATAGCCATGCTTCATCTTAAAGAGAGTCACGACTCTAATGAATTTAACATTCTATCAATTAGTTTTCATGTAATATGATCAGAGTATTTTTATTTTGTCATTTTTCAAGAATTTTTAATCTTTTCGGACTATTCTCTCGAAAACGCGTACCTATAGGTAGTTTTCTTCTAGACAATAATGAGGAGATTTATAAAAGAAATAATACTTGATGAGCATGCAATGATAAAGGGTACCATGCAATCGAAGTCATCGGGATTAATACAACAAAATACTGTGCTCATCATCGGTTTATCATATATATATATATATATATATATATAAATGTAAACACTGATCTTAATGATAATGTTTGATAGTCTCTATTCCTATGTTGCTCAATTCACTTTGAATTGATAAAATGTTCAAATCGTATCTTACATGTTTCAGTTGGAGCAGGACCACTGTAACGTGTTCGAATGGGTAATAAAGCCATATTTCCTACACGAAATTTGCTATTGGCAAACGAAGAATGGTAAGCCTAAAAAGAAGATCTCGATTTTGAATGAAAAATTTCGATTTATACTGTACCATTATTTTGTTTTTTTTTGTTATTTTGTACAAGAATAAAAATCTAAAAGAAAGAAAAAAAAATATGATCTCATACCAAGGCCGACTTTATGAGAAAAAGAAAACAAGATAACGAATAAAGAGAAAAAGTGACCGAAAGCAAATAAAATGAGAAGAAGAAAACACAGATATCTATAAACAAGAAGCAAAATCTAATTGTAAAACAAATAAATAATTAATTAAAAAATAAAAAATGAACAAATCTTCAAGATTAAACAAGTTAAGTTTTCAATAAATCTTTGAGAATAGTTGAAGACGATTCTGTATTTTCTGATGTTGCTGTTGTTATTGTTGATGATGACGATGCTGATGGTAGAGGAGGTGGATTAAGAATAGTTATATTTTGTGAACCATTTAATGTTGGTAAAACAACAGCAGATGATGGCTTATTGGAATGTAAATGAGAAGAATTAACAAAAGGATTAGCAGATGCAGATACAGATGATTTTCTTAGAAGATTATGACCAGCACCACTAGCACCACCAACATTACTATCATATCGATGAAGATATTCGTCAGTATTAAATTTTGCTGTGGGATGTTGAAGATTATTAGTTGATTGCTGATCAACATATTGAATTAATAATTCAGTAAATGACTAAAATTTTCAAAAAACAAAAAGCAAGAAATTTTCATACAATTAAACTAATTTATTTTAATCACTTTATTTGGATCATAAACTGGAGTTTCCGATTGTGTTCTTGCTCTTGCTGGATTTGTTCCTCCTCCTCCACCTGCTGCTACATTTCCACCTAACCACCCACCTAACCAACCTGATCCTCCTTTCGGACTATTGTTATTGTTAGTTGATGTAGCATCGATCGCTCGTTTATATTCATCTTGTGTAAAACCAACTAATGCGCCTAAGAGTGGAATAACTTCTTGTCGTTTATTAACTGGTGTATGAAAATAGGATAAAAGAATATTTTTCACAAGTTGTTTTTCAACACGTGAACCACTTGTTGATTGTAAATCACGTAAATTATATTCATATTGCTGAATTTTTTCATCTTTAGTATGAATTTGATTGCGAAGAGTATTTATTAATGAATCTTTTTTTTCTATTTGATCATTCAACCTGTGAGCAGCAGATAATGCTTCATTATATTCAGCGAGACGATTACAAATTTCATTATTTTCATTTGTTAAACGATTTACTATGGTTGTTTGTTCACGTAATGCATCTTGATATTGACGTAAATGTTCATTTATATGTTGTTCACGTTCTAAAATCAAATAGAAATTAAATGGCTCATACACACACACATATATATATATATATATATATATTATTTTTTCGCCAAGGGATTTTTAAAATGACAGAACTAATAGCAAAACTAATAAATATATTTATGTCTAGTTTTTCATATGGTTTATATCGGTTTTTGAATGAAATATTCAGTTGTACCAAAAGACACAATCATTACATTGGACTAATTTGATGTCAACTGTTGATTTACTGAAAAAATATGTTTAATCTTCTGCCTTTTTGAGAGTCTTTCATATTTCTGTTCTGCTAATATCAATGAATATAAACATTCAACTATTTAAGATTGAAAATTGAATCGATTTACCTCGTTTAAATTGTTCAAGAACATTTTGTAAATTCTGTGAACATTTCATTTGATATTGTAATTGATTGTTTAGATTAGTATTAAGCGCTTCAAGCTTTGTATATTCATATTTTAATGTACCTAATTCGGTAGCTAACGTTTGTTTGGATTGTTCACCACTTGTATTAAGTTGCTGAATAAGTTCATTTTGTGCACGATTTGTATCATCTAATTGTGCTATTTGATTTCTTAAAGATTTTTCTCGATCTTCGGCAACAATTAAATCTGTTGTATATGATTCTTCCATTTTTAATAAATGTGTACGTAATCGTTCGATTTCATTTGTTAATTTTCGTTCACGTTCTTCATATTGGGAAAACTAAAAATAGAATAGAATAAAATAAAATAAACTATTTATAGACTACTTTTAAAAATAGAAAAATAAATCAGTCGAACCTTTTGTCTATTTAATTCTATTTCATCTTCTAATTGTTTCTTATTGGCGATGGCTATATTGCGTTCATGTGAAATATTTTTCAAGTCTGATTGTATGTGTTCAAGATTCATCTGTTGTAATTGTTCTATAAATGATTGTTCAACTGATCTTAATTCAAAATTATTTTTCTCTAATAATTTAATATCTCGCTCTAATTCTGATTGTTTAACAAGAAGCTGTGTTTCATTATCAACCATTTGCTGTAGTTTTGTATCACGTTCAATTAATGTTGCACGTAATAAATCGACTTCTTCAGATTTTTTCTTTTCATGATATAATAGATTTTGATAATTATTTAATTCATTTTGACATTGTAAATAAGCTTCATTTTTTTGCTGAACTAATGATTGAACAGATTCATAATCAATTTGTAATTGACTAAATTTTGTATTAAGTTCATTATGAAGCGAAAGAATACGTGTATATTCGTTATAATATGATAGAGATTCATCATGTTGTCGTTTAGAAAATTCTACTAATTGATCATAGTCAGCGCGGAGTTTTTCGTGTTGTTCCTTTGTATGAATTTGTTCCGTCTAAAACAAGAAGCAAAAAGCTGAATATATAGTTTACTATAGATGTTGGCATTTATCAGATAAAACTGAATGAAGCATTGTCTGAACGTAAAAATTCACTTATCTTCTTGAAATATTTCTTAGATCGATAAAATCGAAATCAATTCACTAGCGTCATAGTTTTATTCCATGTATATTGTTGAAAAAGAAATCTCTAGCAAAATATCGTTTTTGTTCTTGGTTAAAATTTTAGAAAAAACAGCTATTTGTATAAGATGAGTATTGAAGGGAGTCAGTTGTAACTATTCCACAAGAGATTGAACTCTGATTTAAAGATTTGACTTACATTAGTCTTATCTTCTTCATTCAACGTTATTGATGTCGATGGTTTCTCATCTTCCTGTGATGATTGTTTATGTGTAATTTGAATCATCGATTGTTGTTCTTGTCTATCTCGTTCCATCTCTGAAAGTTTTTCAATAAAATGCATTTTTTCTTTTTTTAATGAAGAATTTTCTCTTAATTTTTCATCAAGTACATTTCTAATATCATTTAATTCTACTTGTTTTATTTCTTTATCAAGTTCAATTTGCTGTAAAATAATTTTTAGTGCTTCTAAATTTTTAATTAAATCTTCACGTGTTTTCTCAGCCTGTTGTAATGATATTAACTCTCGATCTTTTTCAGCCAATAATGATGAAAGAAGTTCATTTTGTGCAATTAATTGTTGTTTTTCACCAGGCGTACTTGATACTATTGATTGTCTTGATGGTGCACGTTGAGAAAATTGATGAAGTTCGAGAATATGTTCAATTTCTACTTCATTTTCTTCTTCTTTATCATGGAGAGATTTATTTTCATGTGTTAATGATGGTTGTTGTTGCTGTAATTCAATTAGTTTTGTTGTTGTTAAATCTAAATCGAATTGAAGTTTTTCAAGATCTTCTTGTTTTTCAATAAGTAATTGCTTAAGTGATTCAAGTTCTTGTTGTGTTATTGAAAGTGTATCAACATATGTGGACCATTGTTCAAATAAATTTAAAAATCTATCTGATAATGATACTTGATGATTTTCTGATTGGGATATTTCAATAGGTAATAATGTTGCAAAACGGTCGTAAACTGACTTAAGTTCACAAAATTGTTGTTCATTTCGAAGAATTTGAGCTTCTAATTCGAGTACATGTTCGAATGTTTGAGGAGATGGTGAACGAGTTCGAAGACCAGGCGATGAAGATATAGCAGCTGGTGAACCAGGTGTTGCAGTCGAATTCTAAATTATAGAGAGGTTTTCTATAACGATTATATTTCTGTTTTCTTTTCAATCTTTTTATAGACGTTTGTTCTACTGGAAGCAAGTATTAATTAAAAAAAGAAAGAAAAACCAATGCTTAGTTAACTATGTGTAATATTTAGAAAGAGCTTTATTTTTACAGGTTTGTTGAAAAAAGGTTTTTATTTTCATGTATAAAATAGAATGCATTTCGCTTAGAAACTACACTTAACTTTATTTTCTACTGATTACCAGCAATTAAACAAAGACAGTTATAATAAACTAAGACATGTACAATGTAAGTGTAAATACTGAAAGCAAATCACTGACGATGCTAACATATTTGTTCGCTATAATATCAAAACTAAAGATGCTCTCATATTGCAGTAGTGCACTTTAATGGTTCAGTGTGAACTATTCCGAGAATCTGTTAACTAAACTGAATCGTTGTTTAAGAAAAATGAAAATTTATATGTTGAAGTAAAATCAATGCACCTATCTTTTTTTATGCATAGTAGGAAGTTTTCAGATAAAGTTTATTGATTCAAAAAAGCAATGTGTACTTCTAAAAAGGAAGAGCTAGTCGGCTAAGAATGAACTTGTTTATACTGAAATAATTTCTTCACAGCATTGAAGTATTTTGAAAAAGCAATGTTATCGATTGTGCATATGTAATTTTACAGATTCTAGTTTTATTTCTTTGAAAAGACAAATAATTTACTCTGTTGTACGCATTATAATGTGTTCGCTTCAAAAGATTTCATTCCGGATGACACACTTAAACATTGGATTTTCGTCTCGATGAAAGATATTATTATTTCAAGTTCTTATACTAACTTCATATGTTTGAATTTGTTTATCTCTTGATCGTATTTGTTCTTTAAGTTCATCAATTTGATCATAAAGTTCATTTTTCTTATTTTCTAATGTTTGTAAATCTTCATGGAGTTCAATTAATTGTTTTTCGAACATTTCGCGCACGTGAAATTCTTTTAAGCGATCTTCTTCTTCCTATCGAAAAAGTAAAATAAAATAGCTTTTAAAATAATTTTACATTCTAACTTCTATTTGTTTTGCTAATTGTTCATCTTTGAATTGTTCAAGATTCTTTACTTGAGATAAAAGATTATTTTTTTCTTCGCTTAATTGATGAATCTGTTTTTCGTGTTCATTTTTCTATTTAAAAAAATGTAGAAGAATTAGTCTGACAAAACATATACGTTGAGTGTAAACCTCTGCATCAATTTGTTTTTCTTTCGTTTGAATTTCTTCTCGAAGATTATTCAATTGTATGTGAAAGTTCTCTTGCTCATTTTTCTAAAGATGAAAAAAAAACAGATAGAAAAAGCGAATTGATTGTAATGAATTTAATACTTCATGATTAATTTGCTTTTGAATTTGATCTTGAAGATCATGTATTTGAAAATTTAATTGTTCAATTTGTTTTTCTTTATTTCTAATATCTTCTTGAAATCTTTCTTTTATACTATTTTCTATTTGTGAATTCTGTAAACGAGTTTCTTCAAGAAGTTGAAACATTGCTTCATTATCAGTTGCAAGAGCATCACAGCGATGTCTTTCTTCAATAAGAAGACGATTAAAATCCTCATTATTATTAGCTGAAATATAAAATAAATAGATTAAAATAAATAATCATTATATTTACTTTGTTGTTCTTGCTCTTGATTATTTTTATGGGCATTTAATTGAACAATATCTTGTTGTAATTGATTAATTGTTTCTTCATATTGGCTAATACGTTTTAAATATGATTCATTATTTTGTTGTTGTAATAGTAAATCATTTTCTAATTGTTTACTATGTGACATTAACGAATCCATATTTGTGTGTAAATTTGAATATTCTCTTAATTTTTCACTGTACCAATTTAATTTCTCATTGGCTTGTTCAAGTTCTTGTGAAAGAAGATCTTTATCCACTTCATCCTGTTTATATAAAAGAAATATTGTTATAAATCAAATCAAATCAAATACGCATAACATACGACTTCTTTTTGTACTTCCATTGTTTTTCGTAATTCATCTTCTATAATAAAAAAAAAATTTAAAGAAAATTATTTTGAATCAAAATCAAACCTTCATGATTTTCATTGGAATCTTTCAGTTCTTTGAGTTGTAATTGTAATTTAAGAATTTGTTCGTCATACTCTTGACGACATTTAGAAAGTTGTGCGGCATACATCTGCTCAATATGAATTATATTATCTTCTTGCCGAAACTAAGTTTAAATAAACAAAAAAAACTTATTCAACCAAACAAATTAATTTCGTGATATTGTACCTGATTTTTTTCAGATTTTTGTGATTTGAATGACATTCTTAAATTTGCCATTTCATCTCGTAAATGACTATTTTCATCTTTTAATTCACGTATTGTACGTTGATATTTCAGATATTCATTTATTTCAGATTGATCATCTAACAAGTATTTTAATAATTTTAAATTATATTCAAATTTTAAATGTAACCTTCAAGAATATCAGTCCAAGTATTGTTTGAATCATTTGGATTATTCCATGTCACAGCATTTGTAGTTTCGCGAAGTCGTTTCAATTCATTCTAAATAGAATAAATGATGATTAATCAATTGCTAACAATAGCCGTGCTAGAAAATATACATCTTTTTCTTCGATAGCTCGACGACTTTCAGCTAATAACATATCCGATTTAATTTCTACTGCTTGTTTTTGCATTGTAAGTTCGTCACATTGTTTTTTTAAAGAAGTGCACTAAATATAAAAATTTTCATATTTAATCATACGAAAAGAAAAGATTTTTATTCTCCTAAATACTTCTTCCATGAATGCTTGTTTTCGTAATTCAAGATCTTCAATATGTTGTCGAGCTCGAGTTAATTCAGTAGTTGGATCATAATTTTCTTCACTAGCTTCTGTTAAAATATCTTTAAGATTCGTCGATAATTGCCCAGTTATTGACGTTAAACCACGAGTAAAATTACTCGCACTTGCTGTATTCCACCAGCTAGACATATTTCGTGTTGTGTTTTTTAATAGAAAAAAAAAGTATTGAAAGTAGAGTAGTGTGGAAGACTACGTGTTGACGATATAACTTGTGTGCATCTGAATCATATGTCAATAGAAGATGGCAGGATTATAGTCCAATGATTTGATCATATTTAGATGTCGCTAATATTATAAAAAGTTTATTTAATTAAAATATGTTTGATTTCAAAACATATTCATCATTTTTGAAAAATTTGTTCAAATGATTATTAATAGTATGTCTTTGATCAGAGTGTTGCTTGGAGACCTCTTCGAATAAAATAATGTGAATGGTAGAATTTCATAAAAACTCGCTTTTATGAGCGATTTTATTTATCTACTAATAAGCAAATCATGGATATTGATTTATCGGATGTAAAATCAAGTGATACTGTACCATTAACAGTACGAGATCGAAATTTCTTTACTCATCTAAATCGTTTTATGAACGATGAATCTGCTAAAGCTGGTGAAACCGCTACAAAAGAACGCTTTGCAATATTTCGATTAGCCTTCGAAAAAGTAACTATCTTGAATCTTTTTCTTTTGAAAAAACAATAGTGTTAAAAAACCATTCTCTTTTTTTAAGATCATTGATAAATCATTTCTCTATCGACCTTTATTTCGAGCTATAAAACAAGAATACGAACAATGTATTGCTGTACTCGAATCGGGTGCCGAAGAAGTCGACGCAATGAGTGCTGATTTGCATCGTCTTGTTTTAGAACCAAAAACATTTTTACTTCGACAAAAACGATGCATGGAATTAGAAGATAAGTATGTGAAATAAAATATCGAAAGAAACCTTCTGTCAAATTTTATTAACAGACTTGCGATTATAGAACAAGAAAACAAACAACTTGAACAGGAGATCGCTAAACTATTAGCTCAAAAAAAATCCAATGAACCAGACTCAATTAAAAAAACTGTTAGCGATACTGATACACTTCAACAACCGCAAACTGGTCATCGACGTATACCAGGTTTGTCGATTACGTCTAGTATTGTTGATTATTTATTTTCTAAAGGTTTCCATTGATAGGTTTGACATTTGCCGAAGAAACAGATTTTAAAGCATTGGAAAAATATCATGATTTTCTTCGAGAAAAACATTTACGTCTTGAAGAAAATGCTTCAACTAAATATACAATAAAAGAAAAACGAACAGAAATGCAAAGTTTATTTGAACAAAAGCTATCAGATTTAGATAAAGAAAGTGAACAGAGATTAACATTGCGTAATCGTCTTCGTTTATATCATCTTGCATGGAGAAGTATTAGAAAATTTATAGAAGAAAAACAAACATCATCGTCAATGAGAATGAATTCAACTTTATTGGAAGATGTTGTAATGAATGCAATTTACGAATCATCAAATATGTTTTCAAAAGGTATAGTTTTGAAAACAAAAACGTTTTACTTTTTAAGAAAAAGAATCAAAAAATCTAATTATTAGCTATTCGTAGGTATACAGGACGACGATGATGATCTTGAGGGTGGATCATTTTATGATAAAGAAGCAGGAATGTTACTAGATCATATTGAAATTTTTATGGATATGATACAAAAAGGAAATTATAAAGAAGCATCATACATAGCAGCATGTAGTCCCAAAGGAGTATTAAGAAATATGGAAACATTATTGAAATTTAAAGGTAAAGGCAATGTATGTATGAATGCATGTAATACATATTTGTGTTAAAATTTAGCACTAAAGAAACCACTCAATGAAGAAATAAGTCCGTGGCTTTTTCATTGTAAAGTATTAGCTGAAACAGCTCTTGAAGCACAATTTGTACCTGATGCAATCATGTCATTAGAATGTGCTAAAGCAGCATGCAGTGAAAATCAACTTGAACTTCTGTATAAATGGATAGCTGAAGAAAGGTTCAGTCATATTTTCGCCAACAAAAAATGAAAGTAAAAATGTTCACTTTTTCTGTATTATAGATTGACTTGTTCTTTTGAAATGGCTGAACTTGTCGAACGATCTAATGCATTAAATTTAGCGGAATTTATCTATCGTAAAGTTAATGCTTATTGTGAAGTTGCTTCATGTCTTCTGCAAACAGGTACATGAGAAATACAGTTACTCTTTGTAGTTTAGATTGGAGAGACTCGAGTGATCTTTGCTCGAGTTTTTTTTAAAGATTTGAGTTGCTATATTCTTTTACATACATCAACAAAGTATGACTCGTACAATAGCAAATTAATTTGAATGTGTTTCTCTGACTAGGATATGACTAATCAATATTTATGAGAAACTCAAGTGATTGAACTAGAGAAATTTTTATTAAACTAGTCTTCTGTTTGGAGCTACAACTAGTAATAGTAGTACGAACTAAATCAGGTACATAGAGCCACTCTTGACCAATACATATCCCATACTGTATGGTAGCTGACTAGCGAAATGTTCTTCATCTTTCTTTCAATTAATTTTATTAAAAAAATCATTTACAACAAATTTTTCTTCATGCAGATTTTTAAAAAAGCAAGAAGAGTTCTACAAAAAAAAACGAACTAGAACAATATTTATAGCTTTGCCTATAAATGAAGAACAGTGCATTTTATTTTCCTCTTTCGTACACTTCTATGAAACAGTAAAGAAAATATCTTGTAACATTTAAATTAATGCTTTGTTGAACTTGAAAGATGTCAAACAGCGAATATCAGTTTGTGAAAATTTTGAACGATCCGTTCTTATTTTAAGATTGCTTTCACTAAATTTATACTCGCCAAATGCTGATTTAGTAAGACGATTCATCATTTTTCAAGGATGTTGCTTTCAGAGATGAGTTAGGTTTTTTATACTAAAAAAATAAAATCAATGCGTAGATTTTTTCCTAGATAAAATCATTGATTTCGTCTCAAACTTATTTTGTATTTGAAAAGTTAACTTTTGTCTATTTAAATAAATGATTCAGCCTGATCTTTTTTCCCCTAACATATATAATCTTGTGTTAGAATCGTCCAAACGATGCTTGGATTATCTCACGTCGGTCGCGAATTTGATTCCATCATTGCCCGATTTGCTCACTAAATTGTTTGATCAATATCCATCTGTTAAATTTGCTGTTGACATTGTCAATTATACCCCGGAAAAATATTTGCAAGCGGATGAATTAGTGCTTCTTTTTCTTCAACTTGATCAACATGTAAATGCAATTCAATTTGTTGAACAATTAATTCAAGAAAAAGGAAAAAACTGTGAAAAACAAGAAGCTGAAAAATTGCAAACATGTTTTGATCTGTTAAAAAAATATTCCTATTTAGCTGATGATAAAGTATGTGAAAAACTAATATGATTTTATTTCATTTTTGTACGAAAACTCATATCTTTTCATTAGACATCATCATCCTCATCATCATCACCGATAACAAATGCAGATGAACATTCTAATCCACTCGAAACAGAACAAGAATTAGCTCATCGTTTGACACGACGTATTACACGTTCAGCTTTAGAACGATTTCGACGTGCTCGTCGATGTAGCAGCACTAATAGTATTACACTTGAACCTATCCAAGAACATCCGACACCAACATCACCAACACCACCATCACCAACACCACCATCACCAACACCACCATCACCGTCTGAACCTTCTTTATGTCATCAAGATTTTTTTAATGATTTTCCAGGCAAACTATATTTTAGTGACGATGTTGAATTGAAAAAAGATGATTTGCAAGAAATGCCAGATGAATAAAAATAGAGAGAGTTTAGCACAAAGAGTTTTTTTATATACTTTTGTTCATATTTACAAATCAACATATAGTTTCCATATTTTTTACTTTTTGATAAATGAAAAATCAAGTATAAACGTATTTTTTTGTTGATGATGAGACAAGAAATTTGATTTAGTTCATTAACACTTAGCTAAGAAAATTTTCTCTATTATTGATTCACTACTCAACTGGAACTTCAGGTAACTTCTGGTTCGTATAGTTTGAAATTAAGAATTAAATTAAACAAATTTACATAGAAAATTTCAAAATATTCGGATTAATTTGCTCTCGAATACGACACTTTCAAACAACTAGATATTGTTTAGTAATATGTAAGGAAAAAGTTCTTATTTTGAAAATTCTATAGATCTCGAAGACTAAGTTACCATAAATACTGAAAACTTTTATTCAAGCTCATTGAAATATGGTCGGCGTGTGGGCAAAATGTCAGATTGGAATTTAGAAAAAAACGTGGTCGTGTATTTCGTGTGAAATTTTACAGAAGAAATAGAATCTACAGAAACCATTGCATTGACTCCAAAATTAGTTTTAATTAAAAACTAGTTGAATATTAAATACACTTCACTAATGTCTACCACATACACTAGATTTCGAGTCAAAAGCGAACCAAAATTCGAAAATCTTCTATCGTACATAGTTCGTTAGATTAACAAATAGACTATGGAAAAACTTCTCGAATGAAACTACATGTGAACACATAAAAAATACCTACTTTTCGGAATAGTTCATTAATGAAAGGTTTTAAAGTTTGTTTTTCTTAATCTATAGATAATTTGGTGACAAGTTTTTTTGGATGCGCGCCGTGATCTTTTCCTTGTTTTTTAATCAGGGATGATACTAGAATTATTATTATAATCCAATGTTGGGATACGGCAGAAAAATAACAAGATCTTACATCAAACGCAATTTTGATAGTCTAATTGCGCATATAAAAATACTGAGTCTCTTTAAAGCCTCGTTAAAGAATTAAACCGATGATACAGTCTGTTAATCAATGAGATAGATTTTTTATTTTTCGAGAGCACTTAAATAACTATCAAATGAATGTCTATTATTATTATTATTATACTATCAAGCAATGTAAATTAGGACATACAAGAGCATCATAATCGATTATAAAACCTTGCTTCTCAATTTGAACATCTAGCAATTTTTTATTTTTGTTATATAATGTCTTAGTGTATGCTCAATGGAATTTTAAAAAAAGTGATGAACTATCTGTACATCAATATAAAATAACTCCGAAGGTTACAATAGAGATTAACAAAGTCTTGATTTATTTTAAAGATTTTATTCAAATACTGTTTCTTTCTTAGAAAATCCATTTTGTGATGCTCTATCACGATTCGTAGGAGTCCATCAAATTTTATCAAATAATTAAAATTGATAAACGTTAATAATTAAATATATTCGTCTCGTTGTCAAAACAACATAGCATGCAATAATCCTACAAGCATTGTATTTGATATCCAAAACTAGAAATGTAATATCTGTTTTTTTTCAGTTTATAAAAGAACTTTCGAAAAAGTTAACTATCATTTTTTATTTCAGAAAAATTTCAGCTGAATGAATTGCCAAATCTATGAGTGACATCGAAATCATCTATAAATCGAATAAATTTTGAAGTTTCTGATTTCTACAAAGAATGTATTTAGGAAGTACTTTTTCAACTTAAACTTCTTTACAAACATGTAGGCATACTGAAAAAGAAACTATGTAGATCAAGATATCTATTTACATAAATCCGAGCATCAATGGAAGATAGAAGTTCATAGGGCTTTATTTTTTGCGACAGCCGTTCAACTGTCTCTCTATGTATTGGTGCTGTTTTCAAAAGTTTCAATTTTGGAATAATATTTTTATTCTTGAATATCAATAAAATAATATTATGAAAACTACATGATAATACTAATTTAAAAAAGCCTTCCCATTATGGCACCCCACTGTTTGTATTCACCAAAGATTGAGTGTTATTTATGTGGAGCAGTAAGAAATCGAATAGTTCGCTCTATATCAACCACGTCAGGATGTGTAGCAGGTAGTTGATTACGATAAATTTCAGCTGCTTTTTCATAATATGCTAATGATTGAGTTAATTCACCTCTAGCTTTATAGGTATCACCCATCCCACGATAATCTAATGCAATATCCAAATGTTCAGGTGGAAGAGAATTTAATTTAATTTTAAGTGAAATATTATAATGACCCAATGCTAAGTAATAATGACAGAGTAATAGACGAATATGAGCAACTTTGCTATGTGCTGCTCCTAAATCTGGATGATCAGCTGGAAGAGATTTTTGACATATACCCAACGATTTTTCATAATAATTAAGTGCTTGAAAAAATTTTTTTTCTTTCTCAAATACACCACCAATCTTATCCAAACATTCTGCTATAACTAAATGATTATCATCGTACACCTGTTTATATATAGCCAATGCTTTGTTGTATGAATCGAGTGCATGTTTTAAATCATCTTTTTTTCGATAAATATTGCCAATAATATTATGACTGTCGGCAATACGAACATCATCAGATGGCAATGTTCGTGATAATAATTCATGTAATTTTTCATACCATTCAAGACTTAAATCACAATCACCTTTATCAGCAGCAACATGACCAAGCGCACGATAACAAGCAGCAAGATCTTGATCGTCAGTGGGTAGATCATCAAGTAAACGAAGATAAAATTTTTTTGCATCATCAAGACTTCTCATTTCACGTAGGATTTGACCGAATGTAAAAAGATCCATTTCTTTACCATCATTTTCTCTTGAAAGATATTTTAAAGCATTCTTTAAATCACTATTATGTTCAGTGCATAAAACCAATCGAATAATACATAGTTGACTTTCGTCATGTTGAATTTCTGTAATTTGAAAAATTGAACCAACCATCATTAAGATTTCTTGCTGACCAAAACAATAACTAAGCCAAATAATATTAGCAAATGGTTTTATATCTTCAAGACGAGGATCAGCATCAATTTCAAATAATACTCTCTGCATTTCGAATTCATCAGAATTATCCATACTATCAAGAAATGCTAATGATGCTTCTCGATCAATCGTAGTCGAAAGAAATGTATTTATCATAATAAAACCACCAATTGCACGTTTAAATACTTGTAATTCATCGTGTGTTATCAATTGAGCACGATAAACACGAATAGGTTGTGCACATTGATTTTTTGTAAGTTGTTGTTGAATATCAAAAATAAAGAAACGTAATAGAAAAAGTACATCAACATTTTGCACTCGTAAAGCTTTACTTAAGATTCTAAAAAGAAACGATTGTCGTGTATACCATCGTAAAGTACGCGCAGATGAATAATTTTGTTGAAATTCACGAATAACTGCCAATTCTGATTTATTATCTTTGTATTCTTCTTCACATAAATAAATAAATCTCTCCATGTCAGATGAAGAATCTTTCATTCGAAATAGACAATCAAGAAGTAAATGTGAACGAATAAATTGATTATTAAGTTGATAAGTAAGATTAGTATCGAATATATTTAATGCTAATGGTTCATCTATCTTACTATGACTTCTTCGAGCTCGATCCGATTTAATTTGAGCAACTAAAACATCTAATTGTGAGCATGATGCTTTGACCTACAACAAAATATTAAAAAAAGAAGGCGTGAATTTTTTCAAATATATTTACAATATAGTAAATAAATCCTAGAAACTAATCAAGCGTGATTTCGAAAGCATTGAATAGAAAGTAGAAAACTTCTTTGTAAAATTTATCATTTGACTCATAGAATACTAACCTAATTTAACTATTAAAACTTAAATATAATCTTACGATTCATATAGCTATTCATTGAAGAATTGAATTCTTTCAACGCTAAATTTCCTTTTGATTCTTGTTATATTTAGTAAATATTATAGAGATATGAGAAGTAGCAAGAAGATTAGCTACTATAGCTGTGAATAGTTTTTCGCTGGAAAATTCTTTTAGCATCACTCGATTGAGATTTAGTCAAAGACAAACAATTACATTCCACAGTTCAATTGATAATATATTTTGCATTAGTTAATAAGACAAACTCAATACAGATTAACACATAGAACACTTAATCTTTCTCAGATTTTATCTTTTAATATGAATTAGATTTTGAATTATGTATTTTTATTCGCCGATCAAATATCAAGTGTCTTGTTTTGTGATCTATTCTATTTTTGTTCGAAAAGATGTGAATATATTTTGATATTCTGTGATATTTTGTGCAAAACAGAATAGTTGAGTGATTGCAAAAATAAAAAAAGAATAAATCTTTACTGTAACATTCTATCTTACGTAAATGAAAACTCGGCGTGGAATAAATTATTTCCTTTTACCTTTTTAAATTCTTTAGTCCAATGGCCACCTCGTTTATTATCATTGTTATAAATATAAATTGAAAATATTTGCCGAAGTGAATGAATACGTGGTATCAGTTCTTGACCTAATTGACTGTTGATAATTAAAATAATTCGATCTTGTTGAGGTACATAATGAATAAATTCCTCGCAGTCTTCAATATTCTTAAATGTTTTTATGTAATTGATAGATGCACGAAGTCGTTGTTGAGCGTCAACATATTCTTTTGCTTCGTTTACTAAACGATCTAGCCAAAAAATTGAATATGTTTCAAGATTATTATATTTGAAATTGATTGATGCTCTTTCAGCACTTGCTAATGTTGATAATTTTACTATTTCTACTCTATAATATAAAAACTTAAAATGATTTTTTAATGTAAAACTAAAATAAAGACACTTACAATTGTGTCTTTTCATTCATGATCTTCGATTGATGCTTACTAAATAAAAAATAATTATTGAAAGCAAATAATAATGAAAATATGAATACCGGTTACAATATAGGAAAATATACAAATGATTGATAAAACATTGTTTTTAAACGAGTTATACAAACCTTCGGGGGAATCAAACACAATTTATATGATCGCATGCCTAGTTATTTAATAAGTTTTCCTGTAGAACCGTTCTTTTTTTCTAATCAGGAGTAGATCTTTTCCCTTTGTAGTTCTAGGAATTAATTAACAACAACTAGAGTATTTTTTTGTTTTGCTCTTTCAACTCATGTGTACAGTTAGTCAAAGAAAAGAAAAATAAAGGAATTTGATTAATAATATTTGTAGAAAAATAGATGAACAATACCACATGAGACTGTTATACTCAGTCAAAACAGAGAATTTGAAACTGAGACGAGTGAGAATACGAACAGAAATCCTTGATTTTACGAATGAGTATAAAAACTATCGTGTCTTATACAGGATCCATAGAATTATTGTAGTTCATCATCAGGCTTGATCATACATTTATTGCGCTAGTTATTCATTAGATATTTCTGTTAAACCAATAACTTAATAGTATCAGTTTATAATTGACGACATTAATATAATACTAAAATTCTCGAATCGATCTACATTTAACTATTAATTACAGAAATAAGTTATTTTATTTTATGTGACAAACTTATATCAAGTGAAAAATACATTAAAATGACGAAGTTTAAAGGTAAAAATTGAAGATGCTGGATATCATTGGTAACTAAACAATAATAATCGAGAATCTATCTCAACACTAAACATGTAATATTATTTTCTGTAGTAGACGAAACTGTCGCTCATTAATTCTAGCAAATGTTAAATATAATCAGTTTAATTCCAGAAAAAAAAATAAGAAACGTAAATTTAATAATTAATAGGATCATTTTTCATCTCGGTATTTTCAATTCTATTTACATTTATTATGTTCACATTTTATGATAACAATCAAATGATCTGACATACACACCGACATTAGCACGGAAAAAATACTGATTATACGTTTTTGTCATTTATCATTCTAATGATATGTTTCACTGTACCATTGATAATTAATCGTTCTTCTTTCTGAGTCAATGATCGTTGAACAAAGGGATAAAATTCTTTTAATTCTTTACAATTTATTGTTGATTTTAATTCATTGCTATAATCTGCCTCTTTAACTCTTTCATATTTATGTGACCAAGGACCATTAAAACATTCATAGTCATACGTTATCCAACTAACACTAATAAAATAATCATGTGGAGATTTAGGTGCTGGTAACCATAATGATCCAAGTGGTCGAAGTGTTAGTGGAAAAATACTTTGCTTTGAAACTGCTGAAATATGTTGCATATTTTCTTGCCATATGTGTGTTTCATTTTCATGATAAAAAATCAAATCGACAAATGGATAACGCCAGGGATATTCACTATAACGTGGAGATGTCGAGAAATAAAATTTATAATATTCAAATTCTTTGGGTGAATCCCAACGACGATGAAATTCAACATAATAGGGTGATGATGGTGATTCAAATTTAATAGCTTTCTTTAGCTGATGCTTCAGTCGAACAGACATTAATAAATCAATATCATCATCCCATGGAATTAGATCATGATGACGCCAAGATCCTTTAATAACAATTCAATTTAAAAAAGAAAAAGAACATCATAAGCACAACAAACTATAAACTTACCTAATAATGTTCCATCGATCATCATATATTCAAGTGAATATTTTTTTGCTAATTCATCGAAACGTTTTAACAATTGCATCATTAAATTATGTTCACATTTAGTAACAAGTCGTGGCATTAATGGAGCGGATCGCCATGCATCATAGTCATAAGGAATTACATTCGGTTTAATTGTTGTTTTATTCGGTTGATCAAGTTGAATTGGATATAGGGAAGTTTTATTATGATAATTATTCTTTTTTCTAGTTAATCGTCGATGGTTAATGCGTTCATAACAATTAAGCCGATTATGATAAATATCGTCGAAACTCAATAATAGAATTGGAAAAGTATGTGTTGTTGTTGAATTCTGATCCGCTGTATATTCGTGTGCGGTCAATTTATTGATTGATGTGGTCGTTGTTAAAAAATTAATAAATGTAAATAGAATTGAAAGTGATAAAAAACTGATGCAAAACGAACGTATATGATTTGTTAAAAATATTGAGGATGATACAGAATAAAAATAACAGTAAGGTGTCATTTTATCTTTGTTATCCTATAGATTTACTAAGTTGTTATAATGTATACAGTTGGACATAGAAAGCACATAGAAAGACAAGACAAATGCAGAGGAGAAGAAAAAAAGAAAGAAAGTTTGACCGAGTTGCAAGTCATGTTGCTCTTTTTTCTCCTTCTGTTCATATATAGAAAAGACGTCAGATAGACGAACAATGAGACTGATGTTCACAGACATGATAAAAGAACCATACAGGCTATACTGTCAAATAAAACAAAAGTGAAAACAGTCCAGCTATTTCTTTTTACTAATTGTTGTTGATGAACAATTTGTTTTCAGAGTTTCTGTTTGATTGAACATGATAAATAAAGTGACGATAGATTCCGTATTCTAAATCAATAACGTTATCATATGCATCTATAGATATTTTTCAAAATGTGCACCAACAAATCGAATAAAACCATTATTTTTAAATGGCAAACTAACTAATGTTGGATTTGTATAAAAATGTAAATCTATACCTCGATAAATAAGACGTTACTCATTCGGTAGAACAAGAAATAATTTACAGTTTCATTTGTAAATCTTGTACACAAATAGGTCGATGAGACAACACTAAAGATATTTGATAAATATTAGTTATATATATATTGAATCTATGCTTTTATATGGTATTGATACACATCATCAGGTTTTTTGTTTTGCTATACGAAGATTATTATTACATAGGAAAAGAGGCCTAGTTATATTCACTTACAAAATAATCCCTCGTGAAATGAATGAGTTATTCTTTTTAGAGTTGTGGAACACAAGAGAACGAAAAACAAATAATAATTTATATGCATCACTAAAACTCAAAATAAACGCGTTGATTAAATAACCGATATTTTCTTTTGGGACATCTGACATATATTGCTTTCTTGGCAATATTGATATTTTGAACGATTCATATATATTTACAGTTTCAAATCTAAACTTTTCTATGATAATGGAATTCAATCAAATTGATTGATAATAAAATATTGCATGTATAGATTGTAGCTTTACAAAAATTTTTCTTTCAGTAGACGATTTCATGTCATCACATTTTCTACTTCTAGTTTTATTCTGATATAATGATATTTTTTTTTCAGTTACCAATTCTTCACTCGAAATTTATAAAATTTCTTGACAACTTATTATCACTCAATTAAATATATTGATCTTCATGTTAAAGTAATTCTCTTATATTTTCTTTGTGCTGATGAAGTTCTTCTGTTCTATATGTATATACTCACGGATGATAATACATTTTTATATACATGATTATCATATTCAAATACTAGAAGTAAATCAATAGGGAAAAAAGATATATTGTACTAAACATATGACCCCATTTTGATTTCAACAATACAAATGTATAAAAATATCATGATAAGAGTAAACTATATTAGAAGATAATTCATTGCATATGAATAATGAACAGCATAAATATAAACCAGAAGATTCAAGAAGATGAGACGATAATTGTCTTATTAAATTGACGTTGTCGAGTCAACAGAAAATGCATTTCAACGTGTGATGTTACAAGCCTTAATTTCTTAATTTTTTTTGTAATAATTCTGAAATAGAAAAAGCAAAAATTATTCATTAAGTTTGACTTTCTACAAAATGATTCGATTGAAAAGATTCCATATGGACACTGTCACTTGTTAAACTAATATTCGAACATAAACTGCTTGTGACATATTCTGATCAGAACATTTGCATTTTCAAGTTATTCCTAGTCAGTTTTCATTCACAGATTAATTGATTGTACGTACCTTGAAAAATATCAAGTTTCTAATGAGTCCTCGACGGGATGAATCAAATGCGTGAAGTCTGTGAAGACTAAAAAGTGATGTCATGAGAAATCCCTATAGACAGTCTTCGATTTTAAGAGAGAGGGTTCGAATAAACTCAACGAAAACCTGGGGAATTTTTAGGTATCCACAGAGAAATTTGTGAGAGAACATTAATTTGCATATTTTTAATTGATCATGATCATTTTTTAAAATATGAATAATCCGCAAAACATTGATCTCTATTTTATGTAAATTGATCTCTATAATCATTTTGACGATTTGTCTCTCATCATACAAATTATTTCTTTTGTTTCTATATTTAGATGAATTCTAACAACAAGTGTCAATAACAACAGTAAATACTGTTTAAAAAACAAAGAAATCATATGCAAGTCTTTAAGTAGAGAAGCTCAGGGAAGGATTGCTTCAACTTTCGCTAGCTAAGGCTTATAGAAACATGAAGATAAATAATAATTATAGTAGTTAACTTTTAACATTGATGATCGTTCTAGATGTGTGTTTTTGAGAGTTCTCTTACAAAACTTTAGTAAGTATTAGAAATTTTTCGATAAATTTCGATAGAATACCTATCATCACTAATCTTGAACAATTCGCACGGAAAATCTATTATATGAATATACTTAACTGAGAAGTTCTCTAAGTATGATTTTCCATTGTTCACATCACTTTGATCATTGACATTTTCTTATCCATAGAATTTGTTGAAGAATTCAGGTCAATATCGGCTTCGAGAAAAATGTTTGTCACTGTTTATTTAGGAAATTATCATTTTTATGTTACTTGAAATTTCAGCGTGAGCATGATAAGACAACAATTGCATAGAGCATACATACTCTATTCATAATGAGATATTTGAAATGGCACTCATAAATTCGTTTATCGGCTAGTATTGCCAGATAATCTTAATCGATGTAAATAGAGTATGATATTCTTCAAATAAGCTTAAATTCACAAATATTCCATTGATAACGTGTGCCGGTATGTATTTTTGTCTCATCTATGTACATGTATGGCTATCAACTAAATAACATATTTGAGCATTTTTTCGCGATGCTGTTGCTGAAATTAAAATTAGACTTATAAAATTTCTCCTATTGGCTAAACGGCCTATCAGTCGTTTAGATTGCACAAATCTTTCGATAATTTATCGAATTATTTGGATGTGAAAATCTACCAGTATAATCTTTTTTTCTACGTACGTACCTGTCATACAGAAAAAGACGCAGTGATGTCGGACGAATGAAAATAAGACACGAATGACTTTCGAACCGAATCATACGAAAATTTTAACAGCGGTAACATGACTAAAAGGTCAATCCATGTATATACGATTTGTGTAACAAAAAGTGTTATGCTTCTCTAGTAGTAATGTAAAATTCTGTTTTTGTCAAAAATAGAGATGAATTACGCATCGCAAACTCTACTAGTACGAGCATTTCACGCACAAAACTGATCGAAAGCTAATAGCAACAATTGCAATATATTCTTGTTAGAAATTTAAATATTTAACGTGTACAAGTTTCTCTTCTGAGAATGATTATTCATGGCGATTTACAAAACAAATCTAACTAATCTAGTTAGAAAACTTTAAATAATTTGAAATAAGATTTTGATTTGTTGACCGTGATAAAACATAGTAGAGATACTCATCTTTTATTAGAATGTTTGAAGAAATATAAAATTGAATATGTAATTAGGAACATATCTCATAGGTTCTCTTAACAATGAATCATAAGATTCAACTTTAAAATAAAAATTGCAAATAAAAAATATTTAAACTAATGTATCATTATGATGATATGACAGAATTGCACCATAATTAAATATTGAAATAAGAAGCAAAGACTGCATACTCTCGAATAGGATAGTATATATCCGTAAATAATGTGGATTACGAAAAAATACTGATTAATTCTCAAACAATTTATGTAGCTACTTTGAGAATAATTTAGATAATGAATAGATAAGATCATAGAATGGTACTTTTAAATTAAAACTATAAGATACAAAAGAGAATCATTTCATGATCATCTGCGAATGATTTTTTATTCAAAAAACAAACAAATGCTACAGGCGTATTGATGTGAAAGTAGAAACAACAGACTCTTTTCTTTATCAGGAGCCCCATAGTTTATTGATTACTTTTTCCTTCAATGTCTTTGGTGGTCTAAAAATAAAAGGCATGACAATGAATGAAATATTTAAAAACAAAACTAGCTATCGTACGGTTTAGTTGTAACTGGTGTTATATCAATAGGTTCATTATTTTTTTGTCGTCGAGAAAGTTCAGTAATGAGTGATTCACGAAATAATTCTTTCCATGGTCGAATCGATCGTTCATATTTTTCATCTTCTTCTTTTTCGAGTTTTTCTAATGCTTCATCGGGTAACAAACCAATCCAATCAATTTCTTCTTTCTAAACATTAGTATTAGAAAATTAAAAAACAAAATATATATATATATATATATATATAAAGAAAAAAGTGTACTTACAGGTACTTGATATTGTTTGTATTTTTCGTATATTATTCGTTGTTTTTCTGGATTATCTGACCACAGATTTTCTCCATTATTAACTAGTTTATGTAGCATTTGTCGACGAAGATCATAACCGAATTTCGAGTTAAGATCTTGAAGAGGAGTCTAAAGACAGTAATTTTAATGCATAAATAAATATCCATGTTTTTGTTTTTAAAGTTCTACTTTAAGAATATAATGGTCTAGTGTTGTGGCTTCTTCGATTTTTGCAATTGTACGTCGTGTAACACAAATAGCATAATGCTGATGAAGAATTTCACTGTAGAATAGTAATTTCATTAGTTTAGGCACCGAAATAAAACATCGACTAAAACAATATCGATAAGAAAATTATTGAAAGGACAAGCAAAGAATTTCATTTCTTACTAATATTCATCAACAACATTACCGTCTTCATAACCAATCAGTACACCTTCACCACCCCATAAACCTTTATCGGCTTGCACAGTTGGTACAACAGTTACAGGTACATGTTTAGTTCGAGTCCTACATATCGAAGTAACAAGAAGAACAATGCGTATTATTTATTTTCATTGAATTCATACCAAACGCCTGTCTCATGATTGACAATAAATTTTCGTTTATCGCGTACTTCATGTACATCTTCCTTATTTCCATATAGATGTTCGATAGCACGTTGTTTGTAATGTTCAGGTAAACGAGCATATTGTCCGTTTCCTTTCCACTTATATTTATCAAGTTTAAACACAAGTTTTTGAACTGGTTCAGGATTCGTGGCAACCCAACCCTACAGAAATAAATTATGATGCTGTAATTTTTTGTATAATGATAAACTAACCCCAATCTCGTGTCCCATATATTTCCAGCGATTAGCCATATTATATTTAGTACGCTGTTACAATGAATGAATGAATAACTTAGCTTATCTTGTAACAACTATTCCATAGCTCATATTAACTATCCATATAAATCAGTTATCCAATGAAAATTTATCTACTAGATGCCGTCTGTAATCGAATATATTTATTGATTGCTTGAGATTCTTTTTTATTATGATAGATCTAACTCGCAGCAGGCTTACTGCTCTTAGTATTAGTTCGAAATACGTAACTCATCTGAGTATAATTACTAAGAAGATTTTTAATCCGTTCCATAGATCAAAGTTTTCTTGAAAGTATTCATTTTACGCTAGTTCACATATTTATACATTGCACAGATGTCGTATATCAACGATCCATGTGATCAATTGAAAAGTAACACTGATTTACTCAGAATAAATATGTTGAGTATATTCTCCTAATTAAGAATATTATTCTAAGATTAATTTCGTATATTCTATTCTATATTGATCAGACATTTTAATGTCCATTGCTATGCAACGAAAATAAAATTTGTGACTGTTTCAGTTACCATCTGTAGCATATAACACAAGAGAAATTAAAATCCTTTTATCATTTACCTTCCTGTCGTCGCCATCGTTGTCGTCGTAACACAAACAGTATACATACACACGCACATACACATTTGAAGGAGAACATGCTCACAGAGAAAACGCGTTTTTCTAGTATTTCTATCTATATGACTTATTTATTCTTATTTTTCAGATGTGTACCGATTAGGGAAAGAAAAGAGCGAGAATAATTGCTTGTATTACTATTACTATTATATTTATTATCAATTTTCAATTCAAAAGTCTTTTCTTAATTATCATACATAGTTAATAATAATGACTAAACGATGCATCTGTCAAATTTGCACATGCGGGTGCGTATTTTTTTCTTATCTACGTCATTGTTTGTTGTCATGGATATTTAGAAAAATGAAGGATAGACAAAACCTATACCACATGTGTTATCTTTTGCCATGAGTTATTCCGTAATAAGTTACAAAAATAAATAATTTCAATGGTTTCTTTTGAATTGTATAGTGATAAGAAAAACTATTTCATCGAAGTTGACACTTTCAATTAATATCTTCATGTTTTTTTTTATTTACTCGAGGTTAAGTCAACATTAAGTATTTTTTATTGTTGCTTCATGATTTTTATAGTATCTAAAAAATAAAGAGTCATGGTTTCCATTATTTCAATTATTTTAATAAAAACTCTGATTACTCTATTTTTATTTTTATGCAAGTAGAAAAAAAAACTCAGCCGTGTTTATATTATGTATTTATCTATCTAGTAAACATCGTTGCCCACATCGTCCATATGGTGTTATTGGCAAAAGTGATCAACCATGTGCTGCAACTGAATATCGTTCAGAATTCGTTCCACGTGAAGGTGGTATACGAGAGTCATTTAAACCTGATTATACGGTACAGCAAAATAGTGCACCTTTAGAAGATGAAACAACACACAAGTATATATTACTATATTAAAAAAGAAAATTATTCTATAATATTGATTCTATTTCAGACACGATTACATTAAACACTCGCTTGATAAACCACGTTCATTTAAACCCGAAGAAGTTTATGTTCCTCGTGGTGAATTCGATGCTCTGACAAGTTATAATAAGGAATACACACGTAATCAAACAAGAAATGATTCATATTGTTAAAATATATTTTGTATTTTTGTTTAAATTTTCATATTTAATCAGCCAAAGGTGGTGAACGAGTTAAAATGATTAAACACGAAGCTCAAAAAACAATATCGGCTCCATTTGAAGGTGATCCAACGTACAAAGGTATGTCTGATATTCACTTTTATCTCTCTTATCTTATCATAAACTTCAACATTGTTCTTTTTTTCATAGCTGATTATCGTAAATGGGAAGCTAGTCGAACGGAACCAATTCGACACGACGGTGGATATGTAAATTTAGTTGAAGCATAATTTTTATCTCAGTTTAAATTCTTTATTTTTATTTTCTTGAAGCTTGCACCAACAGATCCATTTAAAGGTTCAAGTACTTATACAACAGATTATCTTAAACATCAAGGAGCAATGCGTCAAGCTATTCGACCTGATCAAGCTGTATTACAATCGCAGGAACCATTCGATGATCGTACTGGTTATCGAACAGATTATATTCGTCATACACAACCGGAGCGCTTTCAACGTGCCAAAGAAGAATATACGCCAAATAAATCTGCTCTAGATTCATTAACAACACATAAGAAAGATTTTACAGCAAAAGAAAGTTAGAATTAATATCTAAAAATTATATTTGATTATTTTATTTTATTTTTATTTTTAGTCGATCGAGCACGATCAATGAAACCAAATCAACAAGGCTATCAATCCAATGCTCGTTTTGAAGATTCAACAACAAATAAAACTGATTATAAACGATGGGAAGTTCAACCAATTCAAACACATAAACCAGATGAATATCGTGCAAAAACAGGCGACATGGATTTAAATACAATGTACAATTCAGAATTCACGCCTAAGCCATTGGCTAAAGTCAATGCTATTAGACCAGTTGAGCGGCGTATGGTCGATGCCAAATTTGAAGCAAATACAACTTATGGAGGTGATTTTCGTAAATGGGCAGGAGGGCGACCGCCTGCGATACGAGCTCAATCTGGTTATGCACCACCAAATCAACCATTTGAAGGAATGTCTACATATAAAGGTAAACGAATATTATATTTTGATGTTTCATTTTTGAAATACTTTAAATCAGGTCATTATATTCCTCATGCTGGTGGCCCACAACGTTCATTTAAACCCGATGGCGTTGCTTATAAATCAACAGCACCATTTGAGGATGCAACTATGTACAGAACAGAGTATACACCAAAAGAGATCGAACCATGTCCAGCTGCACTTCTTGAGTATGTTCTTTTATTTTCATCTTATTTTCTATTATCTATACATGTCAATCATTTGTAGAACACCAAGAAGTAATTTAATGCTTCATCATACGGAACCAACTGGTCACAAATTCTATGAAACTCAACAAGATGCAGCACAGTCTCAATATCTACAACAACAACCTATTGCAGTCTAGAAAATTAAATAAAAATCAGGCTATATAGATATGATTGATCATATAACAGTGAAAAAAATTTGATCCAAACACTTGAAAAGAAATTCAATTCCTCACTATCTACTTTTCGTTTTTTTTGTGTGCTTCTTTTCGTGTCAATTATACATTTCATTACTCGTTCATTTATTCATCATTTTTCAAAAGAACTTTATTAGACACGTTCATACATTTTCTCGTTTCCAGGATCTATTTTTCTTTTCTTTGAAGAAATATACATTTTGTCATAAGAAATAAAAAATAATAAATCAGCTTTCTTCAATGATTGAAGTATGATTGACAATAATAAAAAAAGCAGCTTTTAGCCATTCTTACTAATTGAAGGAAAGATTTAAAACGCAAAATTTTATGCTGCATACTAATACTTTTATAATAATAACCTTCATTGAAACATGTATTTCTTATTCATTGAACTCAGACCAATGCTTTAAAAAAAACTGATTGTAGCTGACATTTTCTATTATGTTTCAAGAAAGTAAGAGAAAAATATTACCCAATATTTACGACGACAATATTGCTAGGTGTTTTCTCCTCTGGTTATGTTCAACGTGAACAATAGCACCTTGACGCCTTTTTGATAGATGAAACTCGACTGAAATCAATTGAGTCTATCGAAAAGTTGTGGTAATAAGTAATAACTATGAAGAAAATTCCTACGAGATAATTGAAAAATTTCAATGATAGACATTATATTAGGAAGTATTGTCGAAGAATATTCCCTAGTTATTCAATTGTAGAAGAATACGTTTTGGAAAATTTCAGAAATAACTCAAACTATCGAAAATTGCCAGTCTCAGATAAATACTTCTTCATGTATTGCTCTAGAATCACAGTTTGATTTATCTCAAGACACTTCAAAGAGATTTCTATGGCTTACTCCAAGTTTTCTTTTCACAAATCAACTGTTTAGAAAGCTTCTGAGAAATAAACTGGTTTCTAAATTTATGATTTTGAAAAACTGAAGACTTCTCCGCTTTGAAACCCCTAAAATATGTATATAACCTAAAAAATCGTTTTCTTCTTTTTATAACATACTTCTCATTTTATTGAGTCTCGTCACTTGTAAACCAGACGTCGAAATTAAGAAAATCAAACCAATATAATAAATTCAGTACGAATTAGAGCAATAAACTAAGTTTGATTTAAAATGGCCTATTGCATCATTATCTCCTATTAGTTTATTTCACTGCGAGTACATAAATCATTACTATCATATATTTTATGATTGTTTGAATATCATTATTGATAATAATAAAATTCAATTAATACACACAATCAGACTATATTTTGGAATATAAACTAACATACGTGTTGATAAGAAAATTTTTCTAATGCACACACATTCTTAGATATCATATATCCATTATTTGCTGATTCAATGGTTGCATCTACGTATTGACATTTCCCGTTGATTGTAATATAATAAATTTTCAGTCAGTTCACTTAAAAGTTTTTTAACTAAGTCGAAAACAAGCTGGAAACAGTCATGTAGAAAATCTGTGAAATCATTTAATGACATAGTCAGACTTTTTTCCCAAACTAAGACATAAATTTGTCTTGATTATTCATCTGACACTTTAGATAGTATATTATTTTGAGTGTGCATACGATCTTTTTACTTTCATTAATATTAAAACTATCAAAAACAATCTAGATAGATGGCTTTTAATACATAAGTCAATGTTCGCAGTTCTAATTTTCAACAATTAATCAAAAATGGCAATAAATTTATTTGAATTCATCTTCTAGAACGTCTATACAATTACATCTCACTCTGTTCTATTTATCAAAAAAAAACATGACATTGACAAAAGTGAAAAAGTCATATAGAAACAAAAGAATCTTGCTCGCATAAATTTTTAAAAAATTGCTTTTCACACACGAGTGACAATACTTCATGATATGAACAACAACAAGGAATACTACATATACATATATGTTGTACGCTAAAGAAAAAAATCTGTTCTTGAATAAGAACAGAATAAAGACAAAAAAAACAGCAAAAAGTAATAGGAAGCTCTAAATCTGATTAGTTCAGGATTAGAAAAGAACAAAGATGATATAAGTATAGAAAAAGTACAATCCAAAAATATCTGACAACATATATATATATATATATACAACACTGACTTATTTGCAAGACTTAAATAACAAAAAGAAAAGACTAGATCCAAATATTTGATTTTTTTCGAATAAAAGCTCATTTCATGATTTCGTAGGAACAACTTTCGATCTCGTACGTGTCGATATAAGACTTGTTCGTTTTTCAATCAATGGTACAGAAGAAACGGACTTCTTTTTATCTTCGATAATAACATTTGGTTTAATTTTAGATTTAAATTGAGGTAGTTTTTTTGTCGACGTAGATGAACCTGTCGAAGAATTTGATCTAAATTTAGGATCAATTTAATATGAGAAGCAAAGAAATTCTTCTTTTACTTATTCAACGTTATATGCACAGAAGACGACGGTATTGTTGTGAGCTCATCTTGTTTCTGTTGTAAAACAAAAGAGTAAAACCAGAAAAAAAATATTTGATCAAATATACATACAGTTCCTCGTGTTACTGACATCTTAGTAATGGTTCTGATGAAAACAAAATTGAATAGAAGATTTGATAGAATTAACAAAAAGTATCAACATACTTCGATCGATTTAGTTCAGTTTTTGTGTTTGTAGAAAGAGTACTACCAGCTGTTCTTGGCCTATCAGCTATTAAATATGAATTGAAAGAAATTAATAATTAAAATATAATGAAATTTTACTCGATGTTCCTTTCAATGGCATTCGGCCATTAGTTAATGTAGATTTATTGATCGACTTTTTCTAAGAAATAAATGAAAATAAATATTTTTTCACTAGTTTATTTTACTTCTTGTCTTTGTTGCTGCTGAATTTTGGTTAATTTTTCGATTTCTTCTTGAAGACTTTTAATTGTCATTTCATTATCATTCAGTTTATTAGTCATTTCGTCTTTAAATAGTTGATATTCGGCAACAATCTATGCACAAATATATGTATAACAATTTCTTATTATCCAATGAATTTTCTATAGAATTTACTTTTTCGAGTGTTTCTTTTTCAACTAATAATAAAGTATGATCATTTCGAAGATTATCAAGTTCAAGATTCTGAATATAAAAAAGAATCATCATTAGAACATGATGATGATAAAAATAAATATTCTAATCACAGTTTGAATTATTGACTGTTCTTTGTCGGCAATAGACGCATCGAACTGTTCACGTTGTAATTTAAATTCTAAAATAAAGCTATTTGTATTTTCTCAAATTTTCTTTAGTTGTTTACCCTCCACAAGTACGTCAATAGTCGTTTGATGTTCTTGTTTGAAATTCTCCAAATCAGTTTCATGGGACTATTAAGAAAATATTTCAGTTAAAATATAAAAGACCATCACTTATTAGCTCAATCGATAATATTATGTAATAGAAAGATGTGACCTTCTTCCCGACATAGAGAACATTTTAAATGCTCCATCATATATATATATTCATCATTCTGTTCTAGAAGTATTCCGATAGCTAGATTTAATCATGATTATCATCTTATATAAGAGAATGCTCTATTTGTTCTTGTCTTAATCTCATCAAAAAAGAAACAGTACCACTTGCTATCTTTCATGTAATCAAATTAACTATATACTACGACAGTCTATCTTTTGATTGATTTCCGATATAAAATACTTGCATTCTTTAATAAAGCACATTCAAGTTGTAAGTTTTCTTTTGCCTAATAAAACAAGAAACAGAAACAACAAAAATATATATATATATATATATTTGAAAGGTATTCTACTTGTGCAAGAAGTTTGTTTTCTTCTTTTAACTGTATTAATTCTTGTCGGCAATCGAGTTCTAAAAAAAGAAACAGTCGATTACATGTTTTGTACTCAATAGAAATACTAACGTTTGATAACTTTATTTGCTGAAGGAGTAACAGTTGGTGTACATCCACCTAATTTACGTTTATTACTTTTCGGTGTTCCAGTCGTTGTATTAACATGTAATAAAGATTGATTGTTATTCGTATTAGATGTTGATGATGATTGTAGATTATTTTTTCGTCGGGTCGAATAGGCAAGTATTGGTTGTCGACGATTTGTTAAACGAGCTTTTATACTACAAAAAAAGAGCAATTGTATAGAAAATACGACTAAGAAATGTAATAGACGAGTTCAATACTTGATACTTGAATCGGAACTACCATTCGTTCGATTATTGTAATCATCTTCGTCAATAAGAATAGGTAATCGTGCAAGTGTTTCATTGAATGCTTCTTGATTCATTGGTCGAATAGGTCGATTATCATAATCGGAATATGAATAATCTTCTTGTGAACTTGATATCATGGGATCGAGATCCATGATTTTAATATTTATATCTGAAGTTTAAAACAAAAAGTGCATACGAAGTTTGCTTTTTTTGTTCAATCTGAAGTCTATTTAACAAGTTTTAATCATAACAAATATTTATATATTAATAATGTTATCTATCTGATAGAAAATGATATCTCTTTTTTCTTCTAATTGTTGCTTGCAGCACGAAAATGATCATCATCAGTTGTTGAATAGATATGACCCTCACCAGAGAGAAATTCTAATGCTTGTCTAAATATTTATTATGAATAAATTAAAAACAGATCAATACACGACAAATTCAAGACTCACTTGACTTGAGTTTCACTAAATTGCTTTAATTGTTTACATATTTCAGTTACACTGTAACCTGATATTGTTGTTACAGTTTTTAAAAGATTAAGAACTGCATTTTGAACTGTTGAAAATCCATTAGATATTGCTGATGTTTGTTGAGTACTATGACCAAAATCGGAATTATTTGTTTTTGTTGCATTCATTCCACTCTAATTATATAAAAATTCACTTTAGAATAAACTATTTTCTTCTCTATTGAACATACTGTGTCAGTTTGTTTACGAATGGATATACTAGCATGAATACATTCAATATTATGAGCAATTAATTCATTTAATGATTGCATTTTACTAACATGATGTGCAACAACATGTGTTTTACCAGCAAATACTTTAATTTGACCAACAACTTTAGCATAAGTTAAAGGTTTAATTGGTTCAGCAGAATCCTGAAAGAAAACAAAAAGTATTCAAAATAAAATAGATTTATTTTATAAGTACAAGAAAACATTTACATCATGCCACCATTTAATTTCCATTAAGCCACCGGAATGATCATCGATATTATATGTAGCTAAACTACCATTTGCTTCATGATTTGTTTCACGAATTAAACCCATGATCATAACTGTATTGAATTTTAAATGTTTATAAACGAAACAATTATCTGACTCGGAATGTTTTGCATTAAGAATAGTTGCTATTGTACATGTTAACACACCTTTAATGGATGAACGCTATAATCAATATGAAACATTGCTTTTTTCCTTTTATTGATTATTCATCTTTTAAATACGAACTTGTACATTATTGCCATCACCTTCAGCTCCAGTTTTTCGTTGTTGAAAGCCACTACTACCTCCTTGTTCTAAGTAATTATATTGAAGAAATATACGGATTAAGATTTTTTTTTGTTTTTTTGTATAATTACCCCAGAGAGCCATTTTTTGTTTATCTTTTTTAGGTTGAAGTAGATATATGAATGGAATTAATGATAGATTATCTCACACAGAGAAGCGACAACACAAAAATAACAATCAGTTAGGCAGTCTGATGATTGCTTTTAATCATCCAATCGATTTCTATTAATGCCATCATGTGTCTATAGGGGCCGTTTGCAGATGGAATATAATTTCATATATATACTTATAATTGGCACAATTCTATATTGTAAAGTTTATCTTTCGTATTTTCTTTATTTTAACCTTAAAAAAGAAATTTATTCACTTAGATTATCTTTTGATCATGAGAAACTTTTTTTGTTGCTTAATAGATTCTTATTTAATTCAATTAAACCTTCTAATTCTACATATGTAAAACTTATAAATCGAAATAGAAAATATTCTAATTTAAATTTTGATTGATTTTCGTCACAAGAAAAAAAATTCAATGGAAAAGAAACATTTATCAATAATTCTAAATAATATTGAGCTGTATTGCGTGAATGAATCATAATAAGAGATTAGAAAAATACACATTATGAATGGAACACGACATGAAAAAAAATACTATTAAAATGCGTATTTACTAATCGAAGATCATTTTTATGCATATTAATGAACTATTAGACGCTAAATATTGATGTCATTGTATTCTTATAAGATTCTTTCATAAATAGTTCTGTTGATTAACACATAGCTACATATTATGTAAGATAGATGAAGAATCATTACAATACGAGATGGTGCATTCGAATAATCATAAGATGTATTTAACAGAGAATACATCCTATTGCTCGATGAAGACCAGCAATGCTATTCAAGAATAAACTTACGCAAATCCAAATAACAGCATTAATCAAGTGATCAAAATCTTGTCGTTGTTGATATCGAATATGATGTAAACTCTATTTGTTCATTTCTTTATATAACTGTATATAAAACACTCATAAGCAATTGCTATAAAACTAAATGGCTATATTATATTGATATACAAATGTATGGACATGATTAAAAAATAAAAGTTTGAAAATATCAAATAATATTCTTTGAAATTAGCATATTCTTGATAATTAAGTTTTGTTGTGGTCGAAGTTTTTATCGCGGCATATGATTCAAAAGATGTAACTACAAATCGATGCCGGAATGAAACCAGTTGTACAAATTCTTAAAAAAGCCCTAATAGCGTAATGAACAAAGTTGAGAACGATAGTAGAATTGTTGAAGAATAAATATTGTACATATTGAACTATTAAAAAGACCAGACTATGAATTCTATTGAAATAATCCAGTCAATATAAATTATATTTGATGTTGATAATCGTGTCAAAAAGAGTATAAGAGAAATTTCTTTTGTTTTGTACTTCATAACTGTTTCACTCATGAAAGAAAAGAAATACATTAGCAAGGCTGCGTCAATTATATTTAACATGAAATTGATTTTATCATCTACAGACTGAATGAAAAAATAAATATATCCAATATCATCTATAATCATCATCTATTACTCATCTTTTTCACAAATTAAATTTCTCAAGGTTAAGATAACTATCTCGTTATAAGCAACTCATTGAAATATTTCGAAAAAAAATTATTTTTCCTTTTTTGTTGTGACAGTGATCAGATACTATATAGTACAAAATATTTTAAAGTTAAGATCTATGAAATTTCTTATTGTTCCATATGGGACATCATTCGAAATGATTATCTTGCGTTATGAATATCTTTATTTCGCACGTTAAAATATGCTCAAGTATATTTTTTCGTTCTTAATCAACTAATTATATATATTTCTTAATGTCTTTCGAAGACTACTTGTCAATACAGCTTTCTTAAGGCTTCAAACAAGGAACTTACATGCTTTCTGTTCGTCTCATTATACTAACTAAAAATATTTGAATTAAAAAATTCCTAGCAAAAAATATCGTTATGTTCTATGAATAGTCGACTGCCAGGCAAATACTATTTCTTGTTTAGCTCTAAAGTTCAACCAGAGATTTCTTCTTTGTCTATTGTTACTTCAATATTTGTCTACCGCATTGCTGATGGCTTTTCTATTTATCGTCTTTACTGTTTTATTTTGCTTGATTTAAACTTTTCATTGATTTAATTGGAGAACAGTTCTTATTGTACACATCCATTATACCAATGGTAGGTCTTACAACATACTCTCATATATCTTAATCAACTAGGAAACTTTGATGTTGATTGTTTATCGAAGTATCACTTGATCAATTCATGTCCTTTTTATGGTAATCGAATGGCGACTGTGACAAAGTAACTTATCATTGCGGATTATCTTGAAATTTTAAATAAAAAAATTTGTTTTCACTTAAAAGAAAATTTGACATGCTAAGAACATCGACACGCGTGTTGCAGCAGCTCATATTCCAATAAAAATGTTACAATTTTCTACATCAGTCTGGTACTTCATATATTCAGTAGCTTCTCCTGTTACTAATGAGGTCAGGCAAATGAGTTTTTTCTGATTTTTCTCGGCTGCGATGAAAGTATACTCAATAATTGTTACTTAACTGACTCGTTCTACCTTTGCATGCTCGTTCAAGCGAGACAGAGAGAGAGAGAGAGAGAGAGAGAGAGAGCAATTTACAACATTATGACTTAAAACTTACATTCCGTATAATTTTCTTCAAAAAGCAAATTGTGAGTTTCATAAAAAGATGATCGGACATATTTGGATGTGTAACTTTTAAAATCTTGTATAGATGGTCTTAAAAGGTAATGTTGTACATTTATTGTGAAACAGTATAAAATTTTTGTGTCAATGATACTGAATAGCAAATATTCACAATGAATTTAGAAAAAGGATAAAACTCTCTGATAAAAGAAAAGTTTAATAGATTTACGTTGCATAATAAAATTAAATCTAAATCATTTTTGATTTAGTACAAAAATTTAAAATCCAAAAATTATAATGACAAGTCAGATCTTCTTCGCATTAATCTTGATTTATTTTTTCTTATTTTTGTTATCCTCGCAAAGGGAAAAAAACTCAAAATATGATGAAACAATACCGATACTCAACATATAAAACAATTGACGAGTAGAAAAACATAGCAATATACTGATATATATATATATATATATATGTTGTAGGACAGATTAAAATTCAGTTCAGATTAAAATCGATTGAAATAATTTTGATCTGAACTAGTTCAGTTTAAAATCTTCTTAATTTTAAAGCGAACTAGTTCAGATCAAAATTATTTCAATCGATTTTAATCTGAACTGAATTTTAATCTGTCCTGCGACATATACATATATATATGAAAACATCTTTAGACTTTCCTTAACAATATCGAAATAATCTTTCAAAAATGACAACAAGAAACATGCACAAACAATAAACAAGAAAAAAGCGCAACTTTATAAAAGCATGGCATGAAAAATATTTCACCGGAACTGTGAGCTTTATAGTAGATATTTTTAGGACTAATGATCATCATTTTGTTGATTCTCTGTTGAATGGAATGCTTTTGAATTTATAATATTATCACTGGTAGTCGTTGGTTTATCGGCATCTGAATATGATGTTGATTGTTGTTTCCACATTGCTGCATAAGTACCATCGGGTTTAGCTAAAAGTTCATCATGTGAACCACGTTCAATAATGCTACCTTCACTAACAACAATAATAATATCGGCATGTGTAATAGTTGATAGACGATGAGCAACAATTAATGTTGTACGTCCTTCACAAACACTTCTTAATGCTGACTGAATTTGGCGTTCAGTGAATGTATCTAAAAGTATCTTTAGATTATTTAGGCAAAACAAAAAGAAAAATACGTTACCAAGTGCTGACGTTGCTTCATCTAGTAAAACTACAGCCGGTGCTTTGAGAAGTGTTCGAGCAATGGCTACGCGTTGCTAAAATAAGATGAAACATAGAAAAAAAAACAATTTGATTGAGTTTCTTTGTTTTACCTTTTCACCGCCAGATAATTTCAAACCACGTTCACCTACAATTGTTTTATATCCTTCAGGAAATGTATTGATACGATCTAAATGAAAATGCATGATAGTTTTCTTTATTGAATTCTTTTTGTGAAATATAATTTGAACGAAATTATTGCAGATTATTGTTGTAACTTTAAACCCTATTCTTGCCTATCGAGATAGACATTATTGATATACAATCTTAAATTAATATACCGATTAAATAAAACTATGGTGATGAGATCTGTACGAAACTAGATAGAATGAAATAAGCTCCATCAAATAAATATGGATACCTGCCAGAGACAAAGCTAAAAATCTCTCTCTCTCTCTCCATCACGATTTCCAATACCAATCTAAACTATCTCGTAGTAAACTCTACATTCTTTTAGGCAAATAAACTTCAAGATTATTTCTCTCGTCCGTAAACATCCCTTTGGTGTAAATTTTAATCCTACATTAAATTTTCGAACAGCATTCTCCTTTTTTTCCTACCATGCATTTCAGCAGTACGTGCAGCATTTTCAACTTCTCGATCTGTTGCTGAGACTCGACCATAACGAATATTGTATAAAACATCCTTATTAAATAAGACCGTATCTTGTGGGACAACACCAATCGAACGGCGAAGTGAATTTTGCGTTATATTTGAAATATCTGTTCCATCAATCTTGATCGAACCACTTTGAATATCATAAAAACGAAAGAGTAGACGAACAATCGTACTTTTTCCTGCAGAAAAAATATTTAAAAAAAGTTATATTTAAAAAACATTTCAAATATATTACCTGCTCCTGAGGGTCCAACAATAGCTAAAGTTTGTCCAGGTAAAATATTAAATGAAATATTTTTAAGAATTGGCCGTTCTGGTTGATAATGAAAACAAACATTATCAAATTCAATCATTCCATTATTAATAACAATATCTTTAGCAAGTGGTGAATCTTGTACATCGGGTTTGATATCAAGTAAATCAAGCATATTTTCCATGTCAATAAATGCTTGTTGTATTAGACGATAATAAGTACCAAAAAAATTCAATGGTGTATATAATTGAAGTATATATGTACCAAATAAAACATAATCACCAACAGTTAATTCATGTTTAGCACTAACAAGCCAAGCACAGTAAAGTGAACCAATTGTTAAACCAATACCAATTAAAATTGATTGAACAAAATTTAATAATTGTAACGTTAATTGATTTACCCATTCAGCTAATAAAATAATCATTATTTTTTCTTATCAATAGAAATTAAAACAAGTTTTGGTATTTTCTTACTTACCCTTTTGATATTTTCCTATCGCATCACGATATTGTGTCACTTCATATTCTTCTGCACCATAATATTTCACAGTTTCAAAATTAAGTAACGAATCAACAGCAGTCGCACTCATAGCATTATCTAGTTTATTCATTTCTTTTTTATATTTTGTACGCCATTCCGTTATAAAAATTGTTAGCACAAGATAGATAAACATTGTTGCAAATACAATTATACCAAACCTTAACAAAAAGAAGCTTAATTCAAAAATTCAAAAATTTAACTTTTTTACCAAATATTAAATTGAACAACGAAATAAACAATACCAATGATAATATCTGCTATTGTTGGAAATATACTAAATACTACATAGTTAAGTAATGAATCAACTGAATCTGTGCCACGATCAACAATACGTAATACTTCACCAGTTTTTCGTGATAAATGCCAGCGTAGTGATAAGTCATGTAAATGTGAAAATACTCGAATTTTTAATGAACGTGTTGTATATTGCTCAACTTTCGTCCATAGGGTTGATCGTATGATACTTAGTGCTCCTGAGCCAAATCCACCAGAACCTAAATAAAAAATAAGATTCAATAAAAATTATCTTTCAGAAGAAGAAAAAATTCTTTTATTCTTGTTTACCTTGTAAAAACCGAACAACCATTAAAACTAATACCAATCTCCATGGCCAAGTGTTTGGTGAACGTAATCGAGCGCCAAGATTGAACAATGTATCGGTTGTACCATTACTTGATTGAATTAATTCATCAGCTATATTTATGAGCAAAATAAAAATGAATATAAAAAGAATATTTTTCGTTTTGGTTTTAAACTTACTAATTAATTTTGTATATCTTGGTACTTCTATTGAAAGTAATCGACCTGATAAAAGTATCAAAACGCAAATACTGATATTACATTGTAAACCATAATGTCCGCGTGGCCATATGAATGGTGCTAAAGTTTTAAAATGTCGGAAAAATTTAGACCAAACATTTTCTTTTTCTTTTTCTTCTTCAATTTGTGAATGAGATCGATTTAACAAAATAGCATAACGTCTTCGTGGTACACCTGGTGCACGTAGACCAATAGAAAATATAAATACTGTTGCAATTAGTCGAAATATCCAATAACCAAAACGAACTAAATGTATTTCGTCAGCTGATGTTTTATTTTGAACAATTGTTTGAAAAAACCAAAATGGTGAACGATAAGATATCAATGCGAATATTTCAATCAGAACCGATAAACACCAAAATATAAGTATGATCAAACCATGTCCACGTGATTGAGCTGTTGGCATTGTTTTAGTTCGCTCGACACGAAGAATTATTAATGAAAGCAACCAAGCAATCGTACGAAGAACACAGCGAAATATGGTATAACTTGCAATCTAATTGAAATTTTTGAAAAAGAAAATGAAGAGTAATTAATATTTTGTATATGTTGAAAAAATCTAGTTACTTTTGTTTTTCCAAGTGCTGTTGTTTCAGTTGCGTACAGTAATGTTGGTTCACATGCTAATAAAACTGTTAATGTAACTTGAATATAATACAAAACTGATGAATCAATATATTCTCGTTCAATCTTAAATCCATATAGTCTACGAAACAATAATATTAAATAAATTAACATTATTTAATATCGATATAGATAAGCGTACTTATAAAAAATGAATTGAATTAAACCAAAAAGAAACATAAAACCAAATAAAATTGATGTTGTAAGAGTATCAAAGAAACATAATGTAAACCCATTTTCAGTCCAAACTGTCATGCCACCACCAGTTGATGTTTCATTTGGTGAACAGAACATTGTGGTAAAAATTTGAGAAATATTTAAATTAGAAAATAAGCTAAAATAAAAACAAAAACCTATCATGATTGCTGTCATAAGGTATAGTCTGTTTTTTTTTGGGAGATTATTAGATAATAATAAAATGAATAGGCACTATCAAATTCATGACAAATGAAAGAAAAAAAAAGGCAAGTTATTTTACAATGTCAGATAGATTTTTTCTTGTAATAAAATACAAAAGAACGTATTGTTTCATGTTGATTACGGGAGTATGCAAGCAAGAAAAGCAGTATGTGTGATTGACTAGGAAAGAAAAGAAAAAGTAAATAACCAATTGGATGGGTAATGTGAATGCAACCAATGAATGAGTGAGTCATGAAAGTCTATAAATAAAAAGTGAGCGGTTCTCTCCCGTCCGTCCTGTTTGTTGTTTTATTCAATTTTTTCGAATATTTTAATTCAAATCAAAACAACTATTATAATTCTATATCAAATCTACAATATCTTAGAGATTTTCTCTAATTTTCGACGTTTTTCAATTTTATTCTAAAAGTCATAGGTCTTCCTAGAGCTCGTATTCCAACGTAACGATATAAATTAAATTAGTTTTTAAGAAAGGAAAGAAAATTGACCGATTTTTATGAATGATACGGCATTACATTTAGGCGACTGCTTTTATTTGAACTGAAATATTATTTTTTTTTCATGAAAAAATCTCAGTTACTAAAGAGCTCCGTATATGTGGTCGAATACCAGCTAAAGGAATACCGAGTTGACTTTTAAATTACAATTACAAGCTCACATTTACATTGACTCCTGTTTGTTAATTTCATTGATATGTGGAAGAAGTTAGAATTGAGAAGAGAATCGATAATCAAGCAAATTGATTTGACAAGTTTTGCTAAATTTAACAGGATTTTCAGAATCCTCAATCAACAGATATTTATAAAATAGGATGGTGGAATTATAACGGAAAAAAAGTGAAAAAGTTTTCATTTTTTTGGAAAGACCTAGCTCTTGATTTACCATTAGATATACATTTGGCCCATAGATCTAATGAAGAAATCATTATTTTTGTTAACTGATGATTGATATTTTCTTATATTTTACTGGCATAATATCAATAAATATGCATTAAACTAATCGTGTTGTATGTAAAGTATAAATTCTTATTTTTATCTTGCAATATTTTAGCTATAGTATGTGATCTAAAATTAGACGCTTTTTCCATGGGTTTTCAGTTACAATTTGGGTTTTCAAAAATACACCTCAACCAAAGCCGGCTGAGCAGTAAGCTTTTTTTCATGTCAAATAAGCAGATCTTGAAAAAGAAAAAAAATACTCTGCTTTGCATCACTTAACATTACGAGGGTTTATTGATTTTTATTTCTAATCCAGAGATCCCAAATGGAATTTTAGGTAATACTCAATGACAAATAATTTCAAAGGGGAACAAACTGATTTCCAAGCATAGAAATCACTAGAAATCATCATACATTAAAGGTGTGAATAACGATTCAGCTGTTAGAAATTACAAGAAACAAATGGAAATAAATGTAAATCAGAGAAAATCTCGAACTATATAGTGAAAGAAAATATTGATTTCTATTGATTTCTCATAATTTTTCAACATTTCTGAACGTTTCCAATGATTTCTGCTGGTTTGCAATGATCATATAAAAACTGATTTCCAGTCATGGGAATCACTGGGAATCACTAGAACTCAAAGAAATCATGGAAATCAATAAATCAGTTTGTTCCTCCTTGAATAATTTTGACTGTGCATCGCTTTAAATTATAGTCATATTGTTGTTTACATTACTAGACTATCAATAAACACAGTTCTGTACTGAAAGAAAAAGACCTTCATTGTTTTTTTCGTTCTTACTCTAGATTACAACGTCATCTGTGCGTCGTAACTTTTGGAGCTATACAATGAAGACCAATAAAAATATATGAAAGCAATATTTATTAAAATATGATATCACAGACCTAGCATAGTAAGAGAAAAAAGCAATTAATATTTTTTCGTAGTAAAATATGGATGGATGGATAAATACATACATAACAGATGCTATTGGAAAATAAATTCAATAAACTATAATCAATAAATAACTGAATCACATGGTCGCTTTTAGAATGAGTCATTAAAAGCGATATTTATTTATTTATTGTCATCATCCATCGTTTCTTTTTTGTAATTATTATAAATTATGGCATCGGATAGAAATGATCTTATTCAAAGTGTGCGATGTGGCGATTTAGTTCGTGTTCGGTATGCAATTAATTATTCAGTTTTTATGAAGCAAAAACAGAACACCTCTGTTCGGATAACATTCTTATATTTAGTTATCTTGTTGAACAAAAAGAAGTTGAATTAAATTTTCGAGATAAATGGGATTCAACGCCATTGTAAGTTGAATTTATTCTATTCTAATTGTTTAGTAAAATATTTAAAATACAACAACAGGTATTATTCTTGTTTATGTGGTCATTTGGAAATAACTCAATACTTGCTCGACAATGGTAAGAACAATATATTGCAATTTATTGTTATTTAAATTTTAACTGCATGCTGAATTAAACAGCAGATTTTCAACTCTCACAAGAAAAAATCAAAGTTGCATTCCTTCACAACAGAAATTTATCATAATATGACTTATAACTGTACCATACTAATTTATTTAGTTCATAGCGTAGAAATAAATGCGGAAACATTCGGATTCGCATCCGATTGTTATGTGTACTGCAAAAATTGAGTCGATTGATTTATGTTGTGAATAATTCTAAGAAAAAAACTTTTTTAAAAAAAAATCCCTGTACCCCCCCCT